TTGTCAGAAATGACTTCAGGTCTGAGGACATATAACCGGGAGAAAAAAGTTGGTAAAGAATTAATTTGGGGACAATTTTAATGATTTTTCCATTCAAAGTGAAACCCAGAATCTGTTCTAGTTGACCTAATTTGATGATCCATTGCTTAAAAGATGCACATTAACATGCTGAATCTATCGGTGAAAACCCCATGTGGATATCTCTTTTGTTTCAGTTTGTGGGTTGCAAGTTACATGCAAATGTTTACATTAACATATTTACTTTTGTAATAATTTCTTTAAATGCATAACGCAGAGTATTCTAACACATTCACGAGGATCATCTACATTTTGACCCTTGTCTCTGTAGAGCTCGCAAGTCACAAAAACTCCAACATTTACAATCACAATATCTTTGAAATAAAATAATGAATAAAAATAACTAGCATGCATAACACAGATCATTCAAACATGTTCTCGAGGATCATCTACATCTTGGCACTCGTCTCTGTAGAACTCGCCAGCCTTCTTTTTGGCAGGTGGTAAGGTCTTCATATTTTGATAGAAGTGTATGTGTTCTTGAGGCACAACACCAGTATTACACAATTCAAGCAAATCCTTCTTCTTTAAATACGTAACTTCTAGAGGACTAGAATATGCAGCTTTGGGTTGATATGTTGACAGGTTTACAGGATGACCTCGATTCTTAGATTTTATTTTAATATTAGTGTACTCTTGATCACCCAGGTCATACTTGACATTGATCTGCCATGGTAACTCTTTGTGGTCCACAAGAACTTCGGCAACATCATTCCACTGGCAATGGGCAGGCCAGGTCAAAAGCTTGTCAGTAAGGGGGTGAAAATCAAAAATATCAGAGTTTGTAATCCTCTTGACAATGTACGGATTTCCAGTCACTTTTGCTGTGTCCATTATTTTGTACCAGTCCTCTGGAACAAACATGGTTTCATTTCTGCTTGATGACTCGATACGAGCATGCATTGAGTCCGCTTCATTCTGAGTATGTCCTTTGATCATGTAACGATGAATAATTTTCACACCTAGCTGTGCAGAAGCTAGCAGGTACATTGAAAACAAGTATCGGTTTTTATTTTGGGCAGCACAGTTCACTGGTACTTTGACATAGTGACGAATGTCCACAATATCTGATTTTTCAGGAGAGCCAAAACAAGTTTAAAAATTGAGCTGGAAGATAGAGGTATTGGATTTGATTGTAAAATTTTATACCACAGACTCCTGAAGGAATACGTGTTCTTTGGGTTCAAGAGCCGTTGCAATCGGCAGCTTGGTTCCCGAGATAGTGGACATTCGTCATTTCTCAGCGTACGAAACTTAGGCCAAATGGACGAAAGTCCGCCGTACTTTGACAAAATGACGAAAGTCCAACCGTACTTTGACAAAATGACGAATGTCCATGTGTAATTCGACAAAATGGCGAAAGTCCAACTTTACTGTTAACACAAAATAAATGAAAGTTTTCATCCCGGGCATGTTCCATGATCATGCCGTCGCTGTTTTCATGGATATTCCTCTTGTTGGGAACGCACCGATAGACTATATCCGTTTTTTTTGCAGTTGGGACATTCGTCATTTTGTCAAAGTACGGTTGGACATTCGTCATTTTGTCAAAGTGCGGTTGGACTTTCGTCATTTTGTCAAAGTACGGCGGACTTTCGTCATTTTGTCAAAGTACAGCTGGACTTTCGTCATTTCGAAGTATTTTCCTGCGCCGAATCTAGAAGAGATATCGATACATGCTTTTCACCAGGCGATAGTAAATCAAAAGTTCTACAACGCAGCCAAAAATCTCATTTTATCAAAATTTTGGACATTCGTCACTATGTCAAAGTATCAGTGAGTTATCTGTCCAAAATATAAATATCTGCTTCCCTTCTGCAACCATTTTCTTTATGTAGGAAAAAACATATGAGCTCATTTCATTGGTGCCCTTCTTGCCAATGGTTTCATCCCACCCAAAACAATATCCTTGGGATGCACTTATGTCAAAAATAGTGAAGTCGAATGCAGTTAACTTTCTACTATAGTAAGCATTGCTAGCATTTGTATCAGGAAAGAGGTGCACTTTTTGCAAGTCAAAGTGGCACAGAACATGGTTTTTAACTTTGCCCTTTTCATACTTTTCTTTGTCGGATATGGCTAGGGCATGTGCTAAGTCTTTTAGCAAGATATGGTTCTCGTATGCTTCTCTCCTCTCATCACTCATATTATTTGCATTGACTTCATATGCAACACACAAATCACACCTATCCTTTCTTGGTTGAAAGAAATTGATTCTGTGTTTATTATTAAAAAAATCATCTTCATATTGACGTTTAGTTGCAATCTTTGGACCATAATTCTTATCTTTGATCCACTCTTGATAAAGGCGGAACATATTAGCAACACTTTTGACCTTGGTCTCCAAGTATTCAAAGGTAGAATCAGCTCTACAATAATGTGATGCAACTCTCGGAAAGGAAGCAATGTGATCCTTAATTGAAGTGTGGACATAATCAGGAACCATTACCTGTTTTCGCTTTCCACCTCTTTTGTCTGGAGAGACAATATTTGTAGAAAGAGCTGTACCTACCATATAATCACTAATGACTAGAGTGTTTAAAAACATAGTCTGGCAAACTTCTATTTTACTATCACCAACTGGCAAGGAATATTCTCTTGTTTTCCTTACTGGGTTGTTTACATCTTTGGGTCGTTCGGGATCCTTGCTTTCCACATAAAGTCTAATGAACTTCCACTTTCCTTCAGCATTTCGAGGGGTCCTATTCAAAAGATCTTATCTGCGCGTTCCCCCCAAGACAATCTTATCTTAAACGCATGCGGATTTCACCCAGTTTGACCAGTTGGGACACGTACGAGAGTAAGCGGAATATATTTTTACATGTACTGTTTGGTTTCTTTGATTACATGTACTGTTTGGTTTCTTTGATCTGTCATCTCCACATTTCAGTGAATTTTATCACAAATGATATTGATTTGTAGCTGTATTAAATGATCAAACTGAGTGAAATTCGCCTGCGTTTAAGATAAGATTGTCTTGGGGGGAACGCGCAGATAAGATCTTTTGAATAGGACCCCTCGATTTTTGGTTCTGTAGAAGTTGTCATGTGCACGCTGTCTATCTTCTTGTGTGATGCGGTCATTGCACTGTAATCTACATCTTTTACCACAGGGAATTCTCAACACCTTAGCTGCTACTTCTTTTCCACTGCTATTGACGTAGGCTTGTCCAGCGTGTCTTGCAGCTTTTGTTAAGTTTAGTTGCCAGTTAGCTGAGTCTCTTTTCCGCTTTCTTCCTTCAGGGGTTAAGTTGAGTTGATTCTTTTTACACTAGATTCATAAAAACACAAGTTGAGTTATATCCTTTTGCCAATTTGTCACACGGACTCATGTAGACTAAGGTTGAGTTATCTCCATTTTCCAATGAAATTTAGACTGTAAAAGGGGTTAAGTTGAGTTATACCCTTTTTCCAAGTGGATTTTCTCCTAAACTGCTTGGAATTCAGTCAAATAATTTGGTGTAATGATGTAAACCATTCTAAGGCACAATAATAAATTAAAAACTCAATTTGGGGATAAGTCAAGTTATTCCCTTCCGCTTCCTGGATCAATTACAATGTTCTTGCGTCGTGCACCTCATCACACCACAGGCAATTGCTTAGGCGGCCACTTAATAATAGATTTAAGGCGTGGATGCGGAGTTCTGCATATACCGACAGCAAAATGATAGAAGCTGAATACTGTACTACAAATCTAGAGGTCAGATTTCTCGCCACTCCAGCGGCGAGACAAAGTCTGGCCAAGTTTTGGTCAGACCTGAAAGTCTCGCCAGAATTTGGTCACACAAAGAAGTCTTGCCGCAAAGTGAGCAGACACAAAAGTCTCGCCACAAAATGGCGATATGGCAAATATGCCATTTTGTGGCGAGACTTTTGTAACTGACCGCCGCTTGAAGGCCGTAATGCGCCGGACCGTTACCGTAGAACGGGGTAATATGAGACATGAAGGAAAATCGAGACAAAGCGCACTTTTTTCGGTTTTTGTCGTGTTGCTCTATAGCGGTTGTTCAGAAGACCACCGTGAATTTTTTTTCGTGATCTAGGAGGCCGTGGCAGCTCACAGGAAACGCACGAAGGCAATCACAGACTCGCCAGGATTATTAAGAACCAAACGAAAAACCTCTTAATTTTAACAAGTTTTATAAAGTTAGTAAAAACCTCCCCAGAAACCTCGGTTAGATTTGGGTTCTCGTCCGAACGAGGTTTAAATCTGTAGGCAATTATGTCAACATAATCGGGACAAAATTTGGTTCCGTTATGTCTACTCTCGGGCTGCCTGTTCCAGATGGAATACAATTTTGTTACCTTGCAGGGAAAATAGACACACCTCTTTTCGCTTGAAACATGAGGCCAAACATACTCCACTGTTAATAATTTCAAGTAATAATGATTTTAACACGAATTTGTTTTACTATCTGACCGGCATCTATGCTCTTCGTTTAGTATTTTCATGTGACAGGCACAACTCATGACTTCTTATACATTTTTCGGCTCTCTTTAGTGACACCCATTTTTGTCCCCTCCAGATTTTATATCGTCTCCATTATAGTTTCCAATCATCTTTACAATGAATGAAAAGAACTTAAAAAGCTCCAAACCCGCCTAAATGATTTAATTATCCATACTTCTTTGACATTTCTTTCTTTTGTCTCATATTACCCCACATTGCAGGGAAATATGGGACGGCATTCCGAGGGTTATTGAAAGGTCCCTACTGCACCTAAAAATCTGAAATTTGGTGCGAGTGTAGCCGAAGGGTCAATGAACAAGTGATGGACACCTCAGTACCTCAAATTGAAATTGAAAGGGGGAAATTCACAAAAAAACTCGAAATTTGTCTCATATTACGCCGTTCTACGGTAATGGAATACTCTATTTATTATTGAATATCAACACCTAACAACATTCTTGTGATTGATTTCTTGAGGTCAACTTCTAAAGTACATGTAGTAGGTAAACATGACTGTAAGGGAATTTAGTCGGGTTTGGTTTGAAGTACTAACAGTCACTACCAAGAATGCAGCGGAAGCAGTCGAAACTTCAACATCTACCAAAGTACACAGGTATTTCTCCCAATGATGACAAAAGATGTTTGCCCAGAGCGCACCCCAGTCAGCACAAATGCGGTAGGTCATAAAGGTGTTTGCAGACCACACACCTTTGCGCCTACTTCAGCCTAGGCTGAAGGTGTTTAGTCTCCACGCACCTTGTCCACTGCCATGCAAAGAAAGCGCAAGGTGTATGGCCAGCATACACCTTGCGCTGCATCCATAGTGCAGCAGGGGTGTTTGGCCTGGGCGCACCCCCACTAGTAAAATCAAAGTGAAAGGTGTTTACATGGGACACACCTTTGCAAGTGAGCCTAAGCAGCCATGCATTGCTCTCTCATGCAGTGGTTTGGGCCCAAGGTGTTTCAAAAGAAAGCGCCTAAGGCGCTTTGTTTTGAGGCGCCTTCTGGCGTTACGTGGTGAGGCGACTCAAGGTGGTACAAAACCTAAGGCAAGCGACTAAAGGCGTCAAGTTTTAGAACACCCCTGAATGAGAGTGTGGGCTAAGAGACAACTGTAATAATCTTGAATGATTTGCAGCTTAGCTTCTACATTTCCGCATTCTTCTTCGTCATACACATGGTGGACACAGTAAACGCGGCTACCGTCGAAGAGCTTTTCAGTACCGTGCGTTACCTGCTCGGGCTGTACTCGTGCGGCGCGACCCAGTTGGCGTTTTGGCGCCATTCTTCGAGCATCGAACTCAGCTTCCACCGGCTCGCGAAGGTCGCCAGGACACTCGAAGAGACAAGCCACTCTCGCAAGGTATTCGCAGTGCACTTTGCTGGGATCCTTACCACAAAGGGGCATCATAACGTTGTTATAAGCGTTAAAGTTCTAATCCGCAACTAGTGCGGCTTCTTTTAAAACGGACAATTTATTTTTTAGCTTCCCGAATATGTATTTAGAAGTACTTCCAGGTCAGTGCATACCCTTAACGAATCATTTCTTGCATGTTACGTTATGATGGCAGTGTAAGGATGAAGAAAAGCAGAGCAAGAAAGAACTTGCTCTAGCCGACTATTTCTTAGACTATGATCAGGGGAAAAACGAAGTTCACCCCTGTAATTATATTTAAAATTACGGGAAATAACAACACAGTTCAAAGTCTACGAAGCATCGCTTCGTAATAATTAAGGACAGAACTGACGCACCGAAAAAAGGTGATACTAAAATGTATCACAAAAAAAAGGCGTACACGAATGTATCACCGAAAAAAGGTCGTACCCGAATGTATCACCGAAAAGTGCGTCTTACACAAATGTCTCACCGGAAAAGGGTAAAACTTTACCAGGAAAACAAGGTCCAATCTCGGCGTTGTCTGAACATTTTTCGGTGATACATTTGTGTACGACCCTGTTTCGGTGACACATGCGTGTGCGACAACCCTTTTTGGTGATACATTAGTGTATGACCTTTTTTCTTCGGTGATACTTTTTGTGTCGCCGAAAATTGGTGAGATGTCTCACCCTTTGGATTTCAGTGAGTACTGTTATTGCATATCCTCGCAGCCGCTGGCGCTCCTGGCGCGGCAAAGTTATTGGTGCTTGGCCTTCTACCATGCCTACGCGCTGGTCGGGGTCGTCCCTGTGGCGACGGGCAGGGCCAGCATGGCGGAGCCGCGCTGCGTGTTTCACGTGGGCCACTTCCTCTTCGGCCACAGCTGGCTGGTCAACCTGTGCCTGGAATTGGCCATGGCGCCTTTGTGGTGGATCGCTGCGGTCTGTTCCGTCCTGAGCTGCTGCACCCTCTACCCCATCATCACGACGATAGGTCCCGCGACGGGTGAAATGCACAAGGCAGTGGGGCGGTCGCTTGAGGTAAAGTATAACTGAGAATCCAAAAGCCATGAGCAGCGTCAAGCGCTGCAATGCGTTTGGAGCAGTTTTCATTGCACCAACAGGGTACTTTGAGAGAGGAGCTGCTACACTCTAAATGGCGTGGGACTTTTTTGGTCCAACGATTGGTGCAATTTGAGGCACATCCGACGCTGACACAATGTTGTTCCCGTCTGGCGACACAATTTGCCCGACACCTGCTGCACAATGTACTTTCACTACACAATCTCTTCCGCCTGGCGGACACAAAATTGCATCACCACCGGATGTGCTTAAATTTGCATCATTCATGGGACCAAAAAAAGAGTCCCTTGACATTCAGTGTGCTTGTATTCCAGCTGACACGCCATGTAGGATCATTCCGAGACAACATTAGGAAACGTCATTGTTACATTTCTCAGACGCCGAAAGTACTCACTCTGAAAACCTTTCAAATTATTGAAGCCTTACGAAGTAAAGAAGCTTATTATAACAAAGTATTTTGAGCAGGTAAGCTTACAAAGAAAATAGTTCGCAATAATTTACGAGCTATTTCTTCGTGTTACAAACTTAATAGTATGCACCTTACGAATGTTCAAAATACTTCGTACGGTTTTCGCACTCTTTACAATAGCAATAACAAAGCAGTTGTCACTACTTCTGAAAAACGCTTTAGATTCTTAAGGAATGCGTTGAGACCGAGTTGAGACAGGTAAGTTGAGGTAAGTTAAGGATCCCTGCTTTTAGGACGCCATTAAATGAAAAAAAAAGAACCCACTTTTTCCACACTCTTCTGCGCTGCGCCTGTGAAACGGGCCGCTAAGGAAAGTGACATCTTTCTGTGTTCACGAAATGATCCTTCCTGCAGGTTGATCAGTGCTCTTCGCTACAGCCTTCACTTCAGAGTGAGTTGCTAGCCGCCTTCTGCGTTGCAGACAAGGTTTTGGCGGATGTCGTCTTCAACCTCTTACCTGGATTGTTCGGCCTGCCTTTGCTGGGCACAGTCCAGGTCAACACCTGTTATACTTACACCACGATTGAAAGAACTGAAGAACACTCGACGGTTCAAGGTGGTTGAAAATGTGGATGAACAACGGTGGTGTGGACATCCTGTGGGATCCAGTCTGCCGTAGATAATCACCGTTGTGCATCGGCACATTTGGGCTGTCTTAGCTGTATTTGAGGCATCCAGGGTTTCAATTCGAGAGTGCTGAGTGGCCCTAGTGTTGCCAGAGCATGAGGCTTAAAGAAGCTCAAACATACACTGCAAACCTAAACTTATAAATGCATGCTTGCAAGTACACACTTACAAACGCATGCTTGGCCAAGTACACACTTACAAATGCATGCTTGCTAGTACACACTTACAAACGCATGCTTGACGCCGTAAAGCTCCATGCGTCAAGCATGCGTTTGTAAGTGTGTACTTGGCCAAGCATGCGTTTGTAAGTGTGTACTTGCAAGCATGCACTTGTAATTGTGTACTTAGTAGACAGTTAAGTTTATAGTGTACCGGAGTGCGGCGTCTGTAACTTTTTCTGCCCACTAAGCAACTTCTCGCCACGCTCTAAATCCAAAGGTGATACTTTTGGTATCTCTTTTGGCAATACAATTGAGTATCGTCAAAAAACGGCCGTACCGAAAAATCTTGCCATCAAAGCGGCAATACACAAAAGTATCGCCAAAATTTTGCGATACTTTGAAGTACTGCCAAGATTTGACAATTGTCTTTGATCAAATCAGGGGGATTAGTTCTATGCTTAATGCCAGATTTTGACGATACTCGAAAGTATTGCCAAGTTTTTGCGATACTTTTGTGTATCGCCGTTTTAAGGGCAATACTTTTCGGTAAGGCCGTTTGTTTGACAACACTTAAGGGGAGGTTCTGGTGAAAATCTTGCCATTTTCCAAATGGATCCCACAGTCATAATTTGTTCGGAAGATAAAATTTTTCATCGAGGAGACTAAAATTTGACTTTTGAAGGCACATGCCAGGCTGTAAACCCAGTCGAAGAGTCTTTTTGAGCCTATTTTGGCTGTATCTTAAAAAATCTCCTTGCGCATACTATTTTGTCGTAAAAGGTTGACCTTGACATTTTTCACTTCTTCGATTCATTTTCAAAAGATTCCGGCATGCATAGCTCAAAACTTCCATTATATTATTAATTATTAACTTTTTAAGCGAAAAAGTCCCTAAAATTTGTCTATTTTGTACATTTTTGATCAATTATAGTGAAATGCTTGGTTAGAAAGCTTGCGAATAAAACTGCAATTGACATTTTGAGGTGTGCATGCCGGCATTTTAAAAAAATGAATTGAAGAAGTGAAAAATGTCTAAGCCAGCCTTTTACGACAAAATAGTATGCGCAAGAAGATTTTTAAAGTTATAGCCTAAATGGGGGAAAATGGCTCTGCGACTGGGTTCAGGGCATAGAATGTGCCTCCCCAATGAAAAATTTTAATAAATTCTTGATAAGACATCAAATTTTTAACAAATTTTCACAGTGGGACCTATTTAGGAGAAAATAGCATTTTCACCAGAACCTCCCCTTAATTTGTACACTGTCAGAAAATTCCGAAAAAAAATGGAAAAATCATGGAGTTTTTCCGAAACTTCTGCATGGAGCTCTCCATAAATGCAAATTCTGGGCTTTCTCCGAAAAGTTTCGGAATTTTGAACAAAAATGCATGCTTCATTACGAAAACACGAAAAAAGGTTTGCAACCAGTTAAAAAATGAGGGAAAGGTACCCCCTACTTGTTTTCTTCAGGTTTTCATAATAATAAGGGAAAGCTACAGGATATAAGTCCAATGAGCTCGAAGGAGATCATCCCTTCTTTGACTATTTCAGACTAAAGAATGCTTCAGCGAAGCCCTCTTCAACACTGGTAAAACTAAAGCGTAACTCTATGCTTGAGTCAAGCATAAAGTTACGCTTGAAGACGTTACGCTTAAAATCAAGCATAGGCTAGAAATTCCCCCATGCATTTAGATAGGGGGAATCTTGGCGGATGAGCCCGTTACGCGTGAGGTCAAGCGTAAACTGATTACGCTTGAAAACAGTGGGTAATACTACGCTTTAGTTTTACCAGTGAACATATCTGAGAAAAGATATGCATTTTACCTCCCACCAGGACCCAAATAATGCTCCGAAGAACATCTGTTTAAGCCCTGAGAAAATCTCTCCGAAAAAAGATGGAAAATGAATGGAGTCTCCATGTACGTGATTATAGGGTTTTTCTCCATAAAATTTTGGAGCTAATTTCTAACAGTGTATCGCCAAATAAAAATTCTCAAGTATCGCCTATCGCCTGCGGATTTGCAGTGCATATCTACTCTACAGCTGTACACTCCTTATCTAAGTGTGGACCAGATTGGTACACCCTCAGATTCTTATGATGAAAGGGTCATCATAACTTACGTTGAAATGAGAACATACGTACTACAATGATATTCATGCGTAATACGATGAAATCATGCGTACCTTATGAAGAAACCATGCGTTATACGATTAAATCATCCATACCTTACGCTGAAATCTATGCATATTACGTATGTGCAAATTTATGCGTACCTTACGATGAAAAACCATCGTAATACGTATAAAAACGATCATAAGATGTTGAGAGTGTACACGTTTTGAAGCGTGGAACATATTTTGGGAGGACCTAATGTGGTCCACACCAGGTCCACTCTAGGATGAGCTGACCAGGTCCACTCTAGGATAAGCGGACAAGACGATTCAGCCCGGCGCTTATCAGCGTGTTCGGGATCCTTTTTGCCCATCTTTAAGGCAAAACTGCCTTCGCACTGCCTCGCGACATCGGCAAATGGCTCTGTGCGACCCCCCCCCCCCCCCCTGACCATTTCCACATCATTCCCCTCCCGCCATACACCGTTTGCCTCGCCACTGAGAAAATCTTACAAACTATTTCAGGTCTTACAAAGCAGTTTGTAAGAACAAAGTATTTCGAGCATACATAAGCCATGCATAAGCTTACAAAGAAAATACTTCGTAATTTACGAACTCTTCGTACAACAAAGTAAATTAGTTTGTACGTATGTATGCTCAAAATACCTCGTGAGGTTTTAAGGGTGCACGTATCTGCTCGTGTCACGTCCGCCACTCTCGGTTACCCAACGCGACACGAGCGTGAACACACCTTCAGTCAAAATCTCGAAAATTGAATTTTTTTTGACGACTCGTAGTTTTGACTTCTCTGGGAAATATTTCCAATGTGCAATGAGGTTTCCAGTGCACCAGACGATCATTGACTGCCAAGTTGCAAGATTTGCCCGCGACACCGTAATGTCTCCCTGCCTTCTCCTCAGGCAGTGACTCGAGGCAAATACGACTTCTACTCACTGTCCACAACACCAGTCATCTTCATCGTACTGTTACCGATTTGCTTTGCTGGAGACTGGACTAGAAAGGAAAGAGCCGGCCTGTCATTTCAGGTGAGAGCGTTCGATGCTTTATTCAGGCCCACTCATCTACGCACTTTTAATCAGCAGACCAGCAACTTAAAACAGCCCAATAAAAAATGAAAACAACATTTCCAACTTTTGTTGTAACAATAAAAATTTGGTTTTTATTTTTTTATTAGGCTGTTTAAAGTTTCTTGTCCATATTTTTGGTTTGGACCATAGAGGTGGTTGAAGTGAAGCGTTCTTTTTCTTTAGGTCCGGTCTTAATTCTTATCTAAGAAACTTTGATCGCAAGATGAAGCTTTTCTTCATCGAAAGGAAAAGTGACTGTTCCATGCCATCCAGGATCCAGGATCAGTACAAAGAAGTATTTTAAGTTACAAAATATGAATCAAGAACCTAGCCCCAATCCGACTGACTCACTCACTCACTCACTCACTCACTCATAGAAATGTTTGGGGTCACGGAGTGGTCGTAGAGACTTGCGGTTTTCTCCATCCGATTCCAAATTTTATGGGAAAATTGGGAAAAATCCCAAAAGTTGAAAATTCCTCACCGTTTCCGAGCAAACCCACTTTATCATCAAAAAAGGGGACCAAATTCCTCACCGTTTCCGAGCAAACCTACTCAATCTTCAAAAAAGGGGACCGACCGACTAAAAATTTTTATTCGCCCCATCGGTAGGTCTGGTCGAGACATTTCCGAAACTGTGCCGCAATCGGGTCCCCGTCCCCGGCAACATACTCAAAATCAATCATCAATTGTCATCAAGAACCTATAAAGCCCCAAAATCCGACTGACTGACTCCCTCACTCAGCAATCAAGAACCTATATAGCCCCAATCCGACTGACTGACTGACTCACTCACTCATAGAAATGTTTGGGGTCAAGGAGTGGTCGTAGAGACCCAAGGTTTTTTTCCTTTCACCTCTATCCTTGTCAAAGCAGTCTTCAATATTTTCCGGACCTTGTATGCACCCATTGACTGCCACAGTAGCCAATGCAATAAAAGCTATCTATTTGGGCAGTAAAAGTAGCCTTAATATATGGTCAAAAGCGGTTAAATAGAGCTTTCAAAGAAGCAGGACATTTACTTCCTTAGGTCCTTGCCTTTGGTCACGTCGGACTTACTGAAAATACTTCGGCACGCGCTCCACACATGCGGGGGTCTGGGGGCGGAGCCCCCAGCGAGCAGCGCGAGTAAGAATACCTAAAACACCAAATCTTTAAAAAAGTATTTAAAACGAGTATTTTATAAGATGGTCAACCTAACCAAACCTGTGTGTAAGGCCTTAAAGTAGTAAGGGAGAGTGGGGTAATTCCGGACACGGGGTAATTCCGGACACTTCGATTTTCACTGGGTTTGAATGAAGATAACTCAAAAGCCCGCCTAACAGAGGAAGATAATCAGTTTAAAAGGAGAATTCCAAATCGCTAAAGTAGGAGGTCAAACCGTTTGCCTGTGGTCGCTTCCCGAAATTTGAGTACCATCAAAAAAAGGCAAAAGCTGCATCTTTCCCTCGTATTTCCATGTACTTATCGTACCTTACCGTCAAGTTCAGTCCCATGACTAAAATTTTATCATATTTAATGGTCATTGGACTTTACTTTGGCGTTTCGGGAGTGCTCGTATGGCTCGCCGTTTTCTTACAGTTGAACATCAAAGGTTTTCACTACCTGTGGGGTAAATCCGGACAATAAGGGTTATTTTCTTCAATTTCCCGCATAATGTTAAGGTAGTGGGTTCAAAATTGTGGACATGCATCCCCACCGTTAAGAAGGATAAAGAAAGAACGAAAAATAGCATTGCAGCTATGTTTAAGAGCTTTACTCAAGACAGTGTTGTCAATTTAGGGGTTTTGATAGAAATTATTCCTTATAATATGCTTTGAGTAATAATCAAACACTTCACTTCGCAGCAAATGTCCTTAAACGCCTTCTAGGGGCATGCCTCACATCAAAACAAGCGAAAGTAAGCTCGAGTAGTGTCAAATTTTAAGGTCGTCCGGCATTGCCCCATAGGTCGTCCGGAATTACCCCAGCCTGGGGCAATTCCGGACACGTGCAGGGCTTTTGTTAGGCGCCTATATCTCCCTAACCGTTGCTGAGATTTGGCTTTCATGTATACCGTTTTGAAGGTAAAGGTCCATACTTTACTCTCCTGTCATAACATTTAACCCAAGAAGCATATTCAAGCTCAAAGACCAAAAAGAAAAAAAGCGTCCGGAATTACCCCACTCTCCCTTACATCAGTTACAAAACAAGTATTCAAAAAGTTCCCCATTTGATCCATATCGATAGAAAATCATGCGCTGAAGTCAGTGTTACCAAACAAAATGCTCCATTCTGAACTCGTTTCTGAGATAAATGCAGTCAAAGTTGGGATCTTTAACATGGGTCTTACTCTACAAATCGAAGAGTGTACATGGTATGCTCTAACTGGAGCATGCCTGCAAGCACGCTCTAACTAGCGCATGCCTGCCAAGCATGCACTTACCAGCGCATACATGCCATGTACACGCTTCCTGATGCAGACAACTCCCTATCCCTTATGCACTAGATGCATGCTTCAGTTAGCGTGTACATGGCATATATGCACTAGTTAGTGCATGCCTGGCAGGCATGCGCTAGCTAGAGCGTGCTTGCAGGCATGCTCCAGTTAGAGCATACCATGTACACTCTTCGATTTGTGGAGTATGGGGAATGGGTCTAAAAAACACGCTAACGTTTACTTTTGGCACATAAGGAGTAATAAGAAGGCAATGAAAAACTATATTTAGATAAAAAAACACAACATAGAATCAAAATCCTTCCAGAAAAACGGGGGTTCCTGTCCATAGGTGAGAACTTCAGAACAAAGAATGTCTAAAAAATGCTCTCTTTTTGGTCAAAACGCGACTTTGGCCGTTTTTATAGTTGAATTAGTCAAAACCCTGTAGGTTAACATCAAAATTGCATATAATTTAAAATAGGGTTTGGAGCTTTATCTGTAACTTGATGCAAAGCGCAGAGCATTACGACAAATTTTAATTTTAAATTTTTTTGGCGGGAAACCCTAGCTGATGTACTACTTTAAAGTGCGGCTTTGAACCAAGGAAGCGCGGATCCAAGGGGGGGGGGGGGACGGGGGGGACATAGGACAATGCCCCCTCCCCCCTTGACCCCTAGGTAGCCGCCTCAAAGGTAGGCAAAAAGCACCACTTTGCCCTTGTACGTAGGCAAAAAGTGCTACTCCCCCCCCCTCTTGGGCCGACTCTGGATCCGCCACACTGTCAAAAAATTCCGATAAAAATAATTGGAAAAATCATGGAGTTTTTCCGAAACTTCTGCATGGAGCTTTCCATAAAGGCAAACTCTGGGCTTTCTCCGAAAAAATTCGGAATTTTGAACAAAAATGCATGCTTCACTATCACGAGAACACGAAAAAAAGGGTTTGCTACCAGTTAAAAAATGAGGGAAAGGTGAACTCCTTCTTGTTTAGCTCAGTTTTCATAATATTAAGGGTAAGCTACAGGATATAAGTGAAATGAACTCGAAAGGGGTTTTTCCCTTCTTTGGCCATTTCAGACTAAAGAATGCTTCAGCGAAGCCCTCTTTAACATATCTGAGAAAAGGCATGCATTTTACCTCTCATCAGGACCCTAGTAATGCTCCGAAGAACATCTGCTTAAGCCCTGAGAAAATCCCTCCGAATAAAGATGGAAAATGAATGGAGTCTCCATGAACGCTGTTAAAAATGTTATGAATTTTCATTACAAATATGCATTGAAAATTCATGAACGCCATTAAATTTCATAGCGGCCATAAAATTTCATAAATATAATGAAATGTCAGAACACATTCCATGAAACGTTATAATATCTCCTTGAAAAATCAAGTCTGCAATGAAACGTCAGATTTGATGAAAAGTCAAAACGTGAAACTACAAATTTAGTGTGGTTCTGAAAATTTATAACCAAGATATAAAATTTCATGTCGGTCTTTGACTTGTAATGGGCAGGTTTTGATGGCTCTTACATTGCCCGGGTGGAAGGAACTTCAGGTTTGACTGAGTTTGAACCTAATCGTGATTCAAAATATTCCTATGCTCTTCCCTGAGTAAATGTAGCGTGATAATATGAGTAGTAAATAAAACGTCGCACCAAAAAACAATTTTAGTATCATTTAACGCAAACTGTGGTCAATCCACTGCTCACATGGTGCGGCCTGTCAGCCACCTGGGCTCAAAGTCAGGTTTCAAGAAGCTGCCGCTAGGTGGCGCTCGGAGTGCCGTGTTCGTTCACTTGTAAGTTTTGCCTATTCATTTAAGTAAAATCAATATTTTTTTCAAAAGTTTATCCTTGGTTACCTAAGTGAATATCTACTCTAGACGTATGCTAAAAGTGTTAAACAAAATATTACTCTGAAGTCGAGAAAAACGCAGAACCATGTTGCGACTCGCTGGCGCCTACAGTCGGCCATTGGGTTAAGTCCAGCGAGAGCCTCCTCGTGGTTGTGGTGCAACATGCCACCAACTCATCTCCCTGAGTATCACTCCGGGTAAAGATCTATGTCTAAGGTGGACTTCGCCCGCTTGCAATTTTTAGAACTGGTGTTGAACTGAGAGTCAAGATACTGGTCGAGATAACATTACCCCTTTATGAAATACAATACCACGATTGGAAATAAAATGTCAAAACTTGCATGTGAATTTTCATTAACAATTTAATGAAGTTTCACAACACTTTGCTATGAAATTTCATGGTGATTTTCTGCAATGAAATTTATTTCATTGCAGAAAATCGCCATGAAATTTCATAACAGAAAAGTGATAATAATTACATTAACATGTTATGAAATTTCAATCCGAATTTTTTAACAGTTATAGGGTTCTTCTCCATAAAATTTCGGAGCTAATTTCTAACAGTGCACTGCCTTGAACTTGTACTTCAGGCGTACTGTGGCCCTTGGCTGGAGGAGACCACCGCGCAGCGCCGAACGCGTCTCGGCATGATGCAAAGCACTCTGGGCCGAGGCTGCCTAATCCGAGTGACCGGGCTGTTCGTCATGGACCGCGCCACGTTCCTCCACGCCATCGAGGGCTGGTACAACCACGTTCGAGTAATCAGCGACCTAACAGGGTGACTGCGACCGTGTTGCAGACGCCCTCCATGTTGTGTTTACTGAAAAGAAGTATCAATAAAAGCAGTAGACAAAATTCTTGTGACAATTATTTATTGACTGAGAATCCTTTTATTGCTGAGCGAAGCGAAGCACCCTGTTGGGAGATTTGAACGTTCGAAGTGACCGCCCCCCCTCCCCCCATACCTTTAGTTTGCCAGACGTTTCTTCCCATTATTAATTCTATATTCAAATGCGTATACATAGTCTCAGCCATATAGGCCAAGCTATAGAAAGCGAACTCTATAGGCCAAACTCAATAGTCGAAGCAGCTTAGACCAAACTCTGTAGTCAACGAAACATCCACAGCTCGCTGTCTAAGATTTAATAGGTCGACGAAGAACCTTGATCCCTCTCAGGAGTTGGCGACGTGCTAGGCCGGTCTTGGAATATTCGTCATGTCCACCGCTGTGCAAAAGCGTGGTGCTCGATTCGTGTCATCGCCCACTCGGAGAGTAAACTTGAAGCGCCCGTACGGCATAGTCTTGAATTTGGGAAAAACCCATGACGTTGGTTCGTTTTTGACTTCGTGGGTACCCTAAGTAGAAGAAAGGTCGTATTTAGTCACGCACTGTTCTGGAACTGCAATATCTGTGTCAGCTTGACCTAAAAGCTTAATCGGGTATTTTCAACGTTAATAACAGGAAAAGTAGCAAAATACATCGGCAACTTTGGCCCGTCCCGTTCATCAGGGAATGTGCAAATTTCGCCTATGTTTATCCCTGACAGGATTTGAACCTGAGTCTGGGGTTAAAATAAATGTTATTTTCGTCATCAGCGCCCTCTAACACATCAGAAACAATGGAAATACTCGAGTAAAAAGAATGTTCAAAATATACCCCACTGGGATTTGAACCCGGGTCCAAACTTCTCCGATTCTCTTGAAACTGGCACCATTGGTTTTTTCTCGTCGCCCAGATTCCAAAAATACCCCTACATGCCCTCCTAGCTGCATCCGTTGCCGAGATCCTCCTCGACCCCATGTAGACCATGATGCACCTGCAGCAGCGCCCCCGGGGCTCGGATCGGATTTGCTGCCACCGGGCGGTTCTTAGGGTCACCCAAGGAGGCTGCATACCAAATTTGGTCAAGATCAGACCACGGGAAGTCCTCGGACGAACGAACGAACGAACGAACGGACGAACGGACGCACAGCAGGGATCATACTATATACCCGTCCCTCCGTCATTTTTTTTTACAAAAAATAAACGGGACGGGCCAAAAATGTCTTCCCCCGCCTCGCTCCGTGGGCATGCCTTCAGTTTACTGCAAGGGTACCTTTCTTTTTTCCAGGTCAAGTAGTCCAAGATTTATGGGTTAAGCCGAATACGCTGAGCTTTGCCGTCAACGGGGGTAACTTGGGACAGACTGCCCTGTACAGCTTGTTGGTGCTGCCATTCAGTGACGGGGGTTCCTAGCGTCAATCCCGCGGCAGGGTTTTGTTTCAGAGGCCTCAGGCCATGCGCGGAAAGGTGGAAGAGGTGCATAACATCACAATTAGTATTTGAGAAACGGGAAACTACATAGGGTTTTTGACAAAATATGTCAATCATTGACAAGTTGACCCTAGTGCAAGGAGTGAAATGCAGATTTGGCCGATTAGTCTCTCTGGGTTGTTAGATCATACACAGACAACAACGTTCGCAAAAGGGCGTTGATTAAAGTTTTCCCATCTTCCGTCCAGACTTCAATTTATCAAAAATCGAAATTATACGGGGTAACTTGGGACAGTTTTTTCCTCATGTTTCCAGCAGTCCTAGCCTTCTAGGAGTTGACTGACCCGGTCCCTGACATAACTTTAACTTCGGATTTTACGCTGATGATGGAAAGAGATGCCTTGCTCTGCAGTTTTGTCTTCTGGTAATCAATATTTTGAAATTTTCAGAAAATCCTTGGATAATACCAGTAGAAAAGAGAGTTCCACGAAGAGCCCTTGATATAGTCCATTATCGGTCCTGCAATAGTTCCTAGGCTTGAATTATTAGTCTAAATGTTGTGACTAAAATTTATTTCGTCCATTAACATCAATAGATGCATGGGAATGTAGCTAATTACCTACTGTCCCAAGTTACCCTTGGTCATGGGGTAACTTGGGACACTCTTTCGAGACCGCTGGGAAACGAAATAATAGATGCAAATGAACCAGACAAGCATGAAATCATGGGGAAAGGGTCAAACTTTAACATAGTTGGGATCCATTGGTCTGGGTTGAGAATCTTGCCTCTGGCGTTCAAAAAACGTGAAAAAGTGTCCCAAGTTACCCCCGTTGACGGTACAAGACATAAGGAAACCCACCCTCAGTACTGTAAAGCTCAGCATCGACTTCAAAGACCTTCCCTCCCAGTCCTCTGACTAGTAGAAGCTTGGCACTTCAAACGCAAACCTAATCAAGGTGTGTATTATTAAGGAGGCAGTCTCGTCCCTGTACCCTTTTTAAGGGGTTTTCCTCCTCTTTTGATGACGATAATTTTTTTATATATACCTCTTAGAGACAAACGGTAAAAACCAATTGAAAAAACGAAATTTTGACAACATTTTAAAAAAAAATTGTTTTGTTTTGTCTTTAAGGGAGTTGCGGGGAATGCAACAAAAGCCGACAAAACATAGAAAATTTCACTGCGCGACACTTTCCTCCGGAAGTTCTTAACTCTTTGGCAATCGGTTTGAGGCACCTTGAAGATGAAAAACCCTCTTTACCTTACCCTACAATCGTCCATGTAGCCCAAGGGAAACCTTTATTAAAACAATACTGAAGTTTGCATAGGTTTTTGGTTACCTTTTTAAAAAAATGTTTTTCTTGGGCTCCATGGACGATTGTAGGCTGAAGTAAACAGGATTTTTTTATCTTTAAGATGTCGCAAACCGATTGCCAAAAAATTAGGAACTTCCAGAGGAAAATTTTGCGCAGTGAAATTTTGTATGTTTTGTCGGCTTTTGTTGTATTTCCTATAACGCCCTTACAACTTGAGACAAAACAATTTTTTTAAAAAAATGTTGTAAAAATTCCGTTTTATTTGGTTTTTACCGTTTGTCTCTAAGAGGTATATTTAAAAAAAAAATTATCATCAAAAGAGGCAGGAAAACCCCCTTAAAAAAGGGTCCAGGGTCGGGACTGCCCCCTTAAGCAACACTCTGTACATTTCATGCATCTTCCTGCGTAAAATGTACAGTGATACATTATAGAATGCACACCTAACGCAGGTATATCTGGGCATGCACAATTAAGCAGTGAAAAGCCCACAAGGAATTAGTGTGTAAACAGAATGACGCAAATCGAATAAGTGTGAAGTAAATAATTACGCTGGCCTCCAACGGGCAGGATACATTTTTGGTAGGGTTGCCTTGCGCGATCATGGCGAAGAAGTCTGGCAGGTGGTCCCGCAGAGTTGAACAGGCTCCCCGAGGAAAGTTAAAGATGAACGCGTTTTCCTTCCACTGGTTGTTGGACCGGCCCGCCATATCGACGCGAAGCTGCAGAGAGAATAGAAGGAAGCGTGAAACACAATACCCACTTAAAATATCGAATGCCCTTGCCGATTTAGACGAGCGTGATTGTGGCCGTCCGATTTAGGTAAATAAGATAAAGGGACAGTAGTCAACCTCACAGCAGTTTGCCAATAATTGTAAGGGAGAGTGGGGTAATTCCGGACGCTTTTTTTCTTTTTGGTCTTTGAGCTTGAATATGCTTCTTGGGTTAAATGTTATGACAGGAGAGTAAAGTATGGACCTTTACCTTCAAAACGGTATACATGAAAGCCAAATCTCAGCAACGGTTAGGGAGATATAGGCGCCTAACAAAAGCCCTGCACGTGTCCGGAATTGCCCCAGGCTGGGGTAATTCCGGACGACCTATGGGGCAATGCCGGACGACCTTAAAATTTGACACTACTCGAGCTTACTTTCGCTTGTTTTGATGTGAGGCATGCCCCTAGAAGGCGTTTAAGGACATTTGCTGCGAAGTGAAGTGTTTGATTATTACTCAAAGCATATTATAAGGAATAATTTCTATCAAAACCCCTAAATTGACAACACTGTCTTGAGTAAAGCTCTTAAACATAGCTGCAATGCTATTTTTCGTTCTTTCTTTATCCTTCTTAACGGTGGGGATGCATGTCCACAATTTTGAACCCACTACCTTAACATTATGCGGGAAATTGAAGAAAATAACCCTTATTGTCCGGATTTACCCCACAGGTAGTGAAAACCTTTGATGTTCAACTGTAAGAAAACGGCGAGCCATACGAGCACTCCCGAAACGCCAAAGTAAAGTCCAATGACCATTAAATATGATAAAATTTTAGTCATGGGACTGAACTTGACGGTAAGGTACGATAAGTACATGGAAATACGAGGGAAAGATGCAGCTTTTGCCTTTTTTTGATGGTACTCAAATTTCGGGAAGCGACCACAGGCAAACGGTTTGACCTCCTACTTTAGCGATTTGGAATTCTCCTTTTAAACTGATTATCTTCCTCTGTTAGGCGGGCTTTTGAGTTATCTTCATTCAAACCCAGTGAAAATCGAAGTGTCCGGAATTACCCCGTGTCCGGAATTACCCCACTCTCCCTTACGAGGCTTGATCCGCGGATAGCTTTCTAAAGTGCTAACCCACAATTCTAGGGCAAAACAGCCTATTTTTGAAACGGCTGTACTGCAGTTCAGTAAATGAGGACAATAGACGGTGCTGCTATGCTGCATCCAACAAGCTAATAACGGGTTATAGTACGGCTACCATGATGTTACGGTGCCTTCGAGGTAACACTGGTAAAAGTTGATCCAGGAAGCGGAAGAAGGGGATAAGTCCATTTTGGCCATTTATCAGGAAAAAGAAAAAACTGTAAGCAGGGAAAACTTAAACAAACCAAATGAATTTTGTAGATGATAACAAGTTCAAAAGGCAAAAGTTAAATTTTGAGAAAAACATCAGAAGTGTCAGATCACTCTGTAGAGGGTTTCTGTGACTTATCACTTTCCGTTGAAATGGAAAACAGAGACATCTTAACTTGTATTTCCTAAACGGCACTCTACCAAAAATGTCCTGTAAATGCCGTTAATTTATTACCAGTTTTCACTGTAGGTCAATTCACAGCGTTTACTGTGATCTGCTCTCGGGATTCACTGTGATCTTGTTCGCGGTGTTCACTGTGATCTGGTCCCCAGTAAACACTGTGAGTTTGACGCCGCTAAGCACCGAAGTACTGCAAATCAGGCTCGAATTCACGGCGTTTACTGTGGCCAGATCACAGTGAACGCCGTGAGCTAGTTCACAGCAAACGCCGTGAATTGCATAACAGCAAACATTGGTAATAAATTAACGGCGTTGACAGGACATTTTTTGTAGAGTGGGAGTGGAATTTGGAGACAAGTCAAGTGGAACTTTAGTCAGCATAAAGTGTTTGTTACTCAGGTGTATTTTTTGGACCTAGCTCTTTTTTCCATTTCAGTTTTTAAAATGAAGGGAGCTTAAGTTGACTTGATTCTTTTTACACTAGATTCATTAAAATACAAGTTGAGTTATCTTCTATTGGAAATATTTTAAACGGAGTCATGTGGACTTCGGTTGAGTTGTTTCTATTTTCCGCTAAATTTAGAGCATAAAAGGGGTTAAGTTGAGTTTTATCCTTTTTCAATGTGGATTTTCTCCGTAACTGCTAGGAATTAAGTCAAATCATTTGGTGTAATGATCTAAACCATTCTAAGGCACAATTATAAGATAAAAACTCAATTTGGAGATAAGTCAAGTTATTCCCTTCTTCCGCTTCCTGGATCAGTTGAGCCTTACTGAGTGCTTGTCAAGCATAATGTTACTCTAAGACGTTATGATTGAAATGAATCTCAAACTAGGAATTTCATCATGCACTTAGATAGGGGAAATCTGAGCCGATTTCACGCTTGATTTCAAGCGTCAAGTGATAACGCTTGAAAAGAAGGGCGAATACTACTATGCTTTGGTATTAACAGTAAAGCTGAGGAGGGTCCCTGGCTAAGCGTTAGGATAGAAATACACTGTTATTCAACGAATGTGACATCACATTCGTTTGAATGTGAAATTTGTCACGTTCGTTCGAATACGATGTCACATTCGTTTGAACGTGACTCGGCCATCAGCCGGCCGTCTGATGCGGGTGTCACATTCGTTTAAGCGTGGATCAACATTCAAACGAATGTGACATCACATTCAAACGAATGTGACATCACATTCAAACGAATGTGACATCACATTCAAACGAATGTGACATCACATTCAAACGAATGCAACAAAATTTGCATTCTAACGAATGTGACGTCACATTCGTTAAATAACAGTGTAGTTATTTAAGTAATGTTGCTTCTGTATTTTCGTAAACATCCATTTGGGCGTTGTAATTGTGCACCTTACATATCATCATACTATACCCAATACGTTTCATCAAAGGGACTCAAAATAGTGAAATTGCCGGAGACAGTTTGCCTCTCGAAAGGCCTCGCTGGATGAAAGTGACTTGGACGCAGGTTTATTGCGAAAGTGCCGTCGGACGGACATGGGTCGAATCTGGTCGTGTACGAGATGTACGGACCCTGCGAAAGAGAACCATGCAGTACAATGGAACAGCACCGGCAAAAGTTCACATGTAATGGTGAGTTTGGTGTCGTGGGTAAGGGCAACCCTGCGGCCATGTACCTTGATTTGTATCGGATTCGGACTAAATCCCCACATTAGTGCCAGAAAGAAACATGCTCCAAGTGGGGCCGATTTTCTGTTTCCATTTGGTGTCAGGAGGCTACATTTCAAATTTCATCAAAATCGGGCAATATTTAGTGCTAGTCCTGGGCCGTTAAAAGTTGAACGAAATTGAACATTTTCGGTTTACATGGCCTAAAGTCACCAATAGACGTTTCTGCGCACTCTGACCTATTCATTGAGTAAAATAAAGCGAGAAAATATCTTTTTGTGCTGTCTGAAGTGTGTTCAACGCCACCGTTCAAGGTGTTCCAAAGTTGTACAAAAACTCAAAGTTGTCATATCGCGACGCGGTTTTCACTGTTCGACGCAGAATCGTACGCAAAACAGTTTGAGTTCTGACTATTTGTTTCGTAAAACGTCACGTTTATCGACAAATCGTTGATTTAGGTACAACTTCTAATTTTTGAGGCTGAGACGGGATTATTTAGGCACCGCGGTAAATCTCTCCGTTTCAAGTTGGCAACACCACGATCGCACCAGCCAGTACCTATTGTTGCAAACAGAACGTTAGAAAGGCGGCAAAGGCGCATTGGCGGGAAACGGCGGTCAAAACTAGAAGTGGCGATCCGGTTTTCCTGGTGCCGGAGCGGGATGCTCCTTTGACAGGGTTTAAATTGCCATCCAAAGGCCAAGTTTTGGGCCGGCTTTTGTTTTTCAGAAAGGGGCCACATGCTACAAGAACCCTCAAAGAGGATGCCAGGTACATACACTGCCCTAACGAATGCCCCCTGCCTAGTTATTATTGGCCAGAGAATGAACTTAATTCCCGTACGTTTTATTCCCTCTCAGTTCTGTTATTCGTGAAGTCATAGAATTCTATGAACGTGCCCGCATCCCTACACAAGAACTAAAGCGTTGTGCTGCGAAACTTGAGGTGCTGTACCATGAGTGGCAGAACCTTAAACGCCTCCATACTCGTGACAGTACACTGTAAACCTAACTGTCTACTAAGTACACACTTACAAATGTGTGCTTGCAAGTACACACTTACAAACGCATGCTTGGCCAAGTACACACTTACAAATGCATGCTTGCAAGTACACACTTACAAACGCATGCTTGACGCATGGAGTTATACGGCGCCAAGCATGCGTTTGTAAGTGTGTACTTGCAAGCATGCATTTGTAAGTGTGTACTTGGCCAAGCATGCGTTCGTAAGTGTGTACTTGCAAGCACGCATTTGTAAGTGTGTACTTAGTAGACAGTTAGGTTTGCAGTGTATGAACCAGCGCAGCAAGGAGAACAAATTCAAGGAGACAATGAATGATGTGGCGCACGGCAGAGCGCTGAACACAATCAAAAATGAGGAGGACAAGCAGGTTTTGATACTGCAGAGGCAGAAGGGAAGGCCTGGCACCATGGCTGGCGTTGATCGAACCTTGGCGACCCGCGAGGCAAGGTCAGCTGCCCGAGTGCGTGCGGAGGAGGAACGCCGCGAACGCTACGAGAGAGAGATGCACGAGCGGAGAGGAACACTGAATATGTCTCTGCTGTCTTCTACGTCCAGCAGCGAGTAAGTTTGCTTCTGGTGTACACACACTTGAGTGTTGTGGAGACCGGAGTTTACATTTTGAACGTTCTGGAGGTCACGTCATGACGTGGCCTCCAGAGTGCGTTCACCTAAGGTGAATGCTCCTCAGTTAAGTTCCAAACCCAACAGTGGATCATTTCGAAGCGCACTGTAAATGTCTTACGGTGAAAGGCTGCACCAACATATTATGGTGGAGATTTTCACCATAATACCAACGAAATTCGTCAAAATATCTATAAGGCACAGTGAATTCTCAATGGTATGTTATGAAGTCAGCTGCACCACCATAATAGGGAACATTTTCACCATAATATGGAGAATCTTCACTGTACAACATTTAGAGTGCGCGAGAAGCACTTCAAGTTAACCGTTTCTCTCTAGAACGAGTCGTTTGGTCACCAAAGGCCAGGAACATTAAGGTGAGGTGTGGGTGAAAATTTGCACCAGAATTGATTTAGATGATAAATTTAATCCACTTGTTATTTTAAAGTAAAATATTCTTCTATTACCGACAGCATGTCCTAAAGGTCTGTGTTATGAACCCCTAAGTGAGTGGTTCATCTAACATGGACTGATGTATGCATGCGCCTTTTCTGGTCACCCAACCCTTCCGACAAGTGTGGAAGAAATTTTTTTTCCACTCCGTCAACTAGCCACGCATACAGTTTTGTTTTATACTGACCATACTTCTTGGAGTAGTTCTTTGTGGTCCATGTGACAATGTAACAGAGATCTCGAGTTATTTCAAATAGCTATCCACTTTCTTGAATCGTTTACCTTAAGGGGGGACCCTGGTGAAAAAATCGCCAAAATTCCAACAAACTGTATTTTCAAAGTTCATAGATAAAAATGTGCATAGAAGGTTTCAGATTCAACATGTTGAACACCTGTAAGCTAAGTGGGTAGTTTCTTTATCATTTGGAAGGAAATAACATTGAGATCAGTTGTCGTTGGCTTCTACGCTCAACTTCACAGCTTATTGCTCAGTCGACAAAAAATTTTGTCGTAGAAAGACTTCCTGCGTTCCTGGTTGACACCTACATGAGTCGTCTTGCATGGACTCTAATCATTGATGACTTGTCAACAAATTTTAGTGACGGAATCTTGATATCAGCCCCCCTTTTTTTAAAACACACCTAAAAGTTTGAAAAAAGGGAAAAAAATCACTTTTTTTTTAAATGTTGAAATTTGAAAACTCATATCTCAGGACAGAAGTTGAGTTTGAAAATTCCGTCACTAAAATCTCTTCTATACATCTTTAGGATAACCCAAAAAAAATTTCAAGACTTTCCGTCCTAATGAAAGACGCAGGAAGATTTTTCCCCAACGCTCTAAAAAACACTAAAAAGCCACTTTTCTCATAGACCGTTCAACATTTTGGATTGAATTTTGTTTTGGGAACTCACCATAATGAACCTAATAATTAAGCAAAGTTTCAACTTCCTGGGATTATTTTGAAGCCTACTTGAAAGTTTCACCAGGGTCCCCCCTTAAAGTGGCAAAAAAATGGAGAAAAAAACTTATTTCTACCATTTAAAAAATTGTGAAGTTTGCTCAGTCAAAACAAAAAATACAAGGTAGGTGTACGCCAGACCGTGTCTTGTCGTAACAGGCTTCGCGATGCTGCGCCAGTTTCGACAATCCGAGCCTGGCGTTACACCTACCTTGGCCTGCGGCGCTTGCCTGCCTTCAGCAGGCTAGGTTTCTTTTCCAGGCATCCGCACACCAATTTGCGTGATTGAAGGTCAAAACAGCATTTGATTTCGTGCCCAAGGCTGCATTGGCCTGACTTTTTAACTTGTCGAGGCTGGGGGGCCCCGCCCCGCCCCCCAGACCCCCCTTTCTTCAAGACAGAAGTGATCTGCCTGCAGAAAACTCGATTTTTCGCCGTTTTTAGGTGTTTTTCGGCTATAAAAACCGAACCAGTTGAGCTAGGATAGTGAAATTTCGCGTGTGCTGAGCCAAGGACATACCCAAAAAGTGTGCAAAATCTCACCGAGATCGGCCGAGCCGTTCAGGAGGAGTAGCGCGGACACACACACACACACACACACACACGCACGCAGACAGGAAAAATTTTTCAACCCCACCTGAGTAACAGGCTTCGCTATCGCTCAGCCAAAAATGCAAATATCGCTGTTACATTGAAGTATAAGGGTTTAGGTAACTCCAAAACAAATTTCAGATCATTCTGTCAAAAAACTTTGCGTGGCTGATTTTTCTACTTAACGCTTAATTTCAATGAAAAAAGCCTACTGTGGCTAAATGGATGGGTAGCTTTGGATGAAATGTGGTGTGTAATAGTTTCCTACCTAGTACTTTAACGCCCTAAAGTTTCAACCACCACAGCCAAGTGGTATGGAAGTTTCCATTTTCACCCACACCTCACCTTAAATTGTAACATTTTGTCACAACTGAACAATTGTGCTAGAATGACCTCAGTACACACTCTACCATAATCTATTATTAGCACACGTTAAAAGAAACGTGCTACACTGCGAGAAAAAGTACAGAGCATGTCTGGTTAACAATTCGCCAGGACCTTCCGTACTTCCGTACTATTTTTCCGTACCCGATTACATGAGTTCTTAGGGGACAAGTACGGACGTTCTGTATTTTTTCCGTACTTCCGTACCATTTTTCGTTTGTACATTTTCTGTCCAAAAGTACGGAATTTTTGTAGTGTTTCGCGGCGAAAATTTTCTATAAACCTCTTGTCGGCAAAGACACTCAACATGCGAGTTAAATGTGGAATGGAAATTACACCTGCTGGTTTCTAGGCAAGATTTTTCGCCGCTTTGAAACTTTTCAGAACTGGCAGTTGCGGTTCTACTGGTGTCGCAACATGCCGCCTCGCCGGATACGTACTGTGTTGCACAAGCACTACACAATGGCCTTTTTTCGGGCAATAGGACGTCGGGTAGGAAAAGAACCCCGTCTAAAATTGTTTTTAAATTTTTGTTGCAGAAGTTATTTTTTGAAGTCGAATTGTGATTTTAAAAAATTGATCGAGGGATACGTTGTGTGTGTTAGGCGTATCCTCACATCAAAGTGCAACTCACAAAAGTGAACGTGACATAATGCTCTAAGGAAGGTTACAATTTGTCACATTCGTTTGAACGTGATGCCAAGTTCCTGGGGAAAGTACACTGTTGAGTTTGTAGGATTATTCCGCACCAGGAAGTGCGGAGTTCTCCACACTGAGCAACCGTTCCCGCCCATTTTTCCCCCCCAAAAAATTCCCAAAAATAAAATTCCAAATTCAAAACTCCCAACGCCCAGTATTTTCCAAATTCCATTTTCTCCAATTTTTGAATTTCCAATCCAAATTTCCCACTGGTCAAATTTTGGTTGGCAGCACGTTTTATGTACCTGCTCAAGCTTTCCTAGAGGGCGGAGGAATATTTCAAAGTTGGCACTGCCGGTAAACTACCCTGGCGCCAATGCCGATTGTTGACCGTTGTTGACGCGGGGTGCCATGGCTGACGACGAGGCTGCTACTATAATAACGTCAAGAAAGGGAGGCAAAAAACTGCTATACAAAGGCTTCATTTACCACCGCCGTGACAGCAGGAAAGCCAATACATACTGGGCATGCCACAAGAAGGGTGAGTGCAAGGCCACGGCTGTGACACGCTACGTCAACGGGGCCATCGAGGTCCTCAAGGAGAAGGACCACGTCCATGCTCCCAACCGAGAGGAGGTGGAGGCCGAGAGAGTGGTTACCAACCTAAAGAGAATTGCAAGTGACCACCCTGAGCTACCACCTGCGCAAATTTTGCGTACGGAATTACCAAAATGCTCAGAGGGCGTGCTCAGCCAGCTCCCCGAGAGGGAGAACCTCAAGAAGAGCATGCGAGCGGAGGGAGCGGGCCCGTGACCAGCCCAGTAACCCCCTGACCTTGGCTGAATTGAGGGAAATCCCCGACAGGTATGTGTTGGCATTGGTGTGTACGTCATGTGACAAGTAGAACTGGACAATTAATTTTATTTTTGTAGGAATCCACTCTTGCTGTTGAGCAATTTGTTATGTACGACTCGTACGAGGACGACGATGAGGAAGCTGACGATGAAAACAGAGTCATAGTATTCAGCACTAGGAGAAACCTTGAAATCCTATTCAAATGTGCACTCTGGTTTGTTGATGGAACATTTAAGGGGGCTCATACATGTTAAAAGCACTTTAAAAAAAAAAAAAATTTGATGTAGACGGATTAAGATTTTACAATTTCTGTGTTAAAATCCTTTTAGATAATTTAGTAAGCTTCATTTTGGCTTAAGGGAAAGTGACTTTGGACATTTTTTGGAGATTTAGTCGAAACGTTTAAAATTTTGCTTCTCGTAAGATTTTGTTCGCATACTTGCTCAGATCTGTGGGGAAAAAATCAGGGAGACTCATCCCCAGTAGTGTCATAGAATTGACTAGAATGGGCTTTATATCTGCAATAGTTTTCAAGAAAAAAATAAAAACAATTTTTTTAACAATTTTTTACACAAATTTTTAAACAAAAAAATTGTTTATATTTTTTTTCTTGAAAACTATTGCAGATATAAAGCCCATTCTAGTCAATTCTATGACACTACTGGGGATGAGTCTCCCTGATTTTTTCCCCACAGATCTGAGCAAGTATGCGAACAAAATCTTACGAGAAGCAAAATTTTAAACGTTTCGACTAAATCTCCAAAAAATGTCCAAAGTCACTTTCCCTTAAGCCAAAATGAAGCTTACTAAATTATCTAAAAGGATTTTAACACAGAAATTGTAAAATCTTAATCCGTCTACATCAAATTTTTTTTTTTTTAAAAGTGCTTTTAACATGTATGAGCCCCCTTAAAACAGCGCCCCACATTTTCCTTCAAATTTTTACAATTCTTGGGCTGGTGGTACGGTCGGGAGCCGATGCTGCGGATCCTGATACCTCTGTTGCTCTGCCACTTGTGTATGCCTTACTCTCCAACAAGACGCAGGAGAATTAAATCAAAGTACTGGACAAGGTGAAATCAGTTGCAGCAAGGTTCAGGATACGTGCAACATCGCCAAGTAAAATAACGTCCGACTTTGAATTGGCCATTATAAATGCACTCCGAGCGGTATTTCCTGATGCAGTTATTCGCTTGTGCTTCTTCCATCTGGGACAATCAACCTACCGAAAGGTGCAGAGTGTTGGGCTCCAGGAGCAGTATAATGATGCAGAAGACCGCTCTATCAAGAATGCTGTGCACTCTATGCTAGGCCTAGCATTCTTGCCGACTGACAGGGTGATAGACGCGTTTGTTGAGCTGGAACGAGTGTCTCCCCAAGCGGCTGGTCCAGTATTCCGCTACTTCGACGAGACGTATCTTCGTGGTCCTCGAGGCCGTGGAGTCAGGAGGAGGGCACCAGCTGCGCCGCGTTACGCTCTGGAGGACTGGAACGCGCACGAGGCCACCCTGGCGGACGAACACCGCACCAACAATTTGAGCGAGGGATGGCACAATCGGTTCCAGGTAAGGGCTCCTGAAATAAACGGTAATGTCTACAAACCCCAGTAAAATACTGACGAAAAAACCAGTTGGTTATTGGAAAGAAGCATCCGTCCCTCTACTCTTGTCTCCATGAGCTGCAGAAAGAGCAAGGAGACACCGAGACTGTGCTGACCGAGATGCGACTAGGAAGGAAGATAAAGAACGCTCCCAAGAAGAAGTGGCAAGATCTTCAACGGCGCATCAGGACTACTGTGCAAGACCTCCACACATACGAGAACGTGGTCGACTTCCTGCGAACCGTTGGACACCACTTCCAGCTGTAATCAGCGTCCGTCAGTCAGAGTCACTCCGCGTTACAACTTTTGGAAATAAAATTTGAAAATTTGACAAATGTTGTTATTGGAAAACTTTTTATTGGAAAACTCAATTTTGGAAAACTTTAATCTGGGAAACTGTACTTTTCGAAAATCAGAATTTGGAAAAATTTATTCGGAAAAGAAAAATTTGGAACAAAAAGTAATTGGGAAAAACCGTTTGGGAAAAATGACCGGGAACCCTGAGCAACTAACAGCAAAAGTGTTGATGGTTTTGCTGCAGACGAGATCCGGGTTGAGGAGGAAGAAAGGGGGCAACAGCAGCGCAGCGAGCGGCGGCATGGATGTGTCGCGGTGCCGTGGCCCTGGCACGGAGGCGCGTGTCCGAGCCGAGGCAAAGGTGGTCTGGCGCAGAGAGGCGATGACGTAAAGCAAACGATAGAATACAGTTGCTGAGCTGGGCTGATAAAAAAAAATAGACTCATTCGTGCCGCCAGTGTAGTCGCGTGTGAAAGGGTACCCTCTGTGAACTCAACTGTGTCGTATTTAGTACAGTATCTTTGACGCGTAGTGGAGAGTGGGGCACATTGAACAGTTTCAAACTGCGCGGGGTTAACCCGATCACAGCGCCTCCATCCTGGTGTGAAAAGAATCTCTGAACTCCGAGGGAATGTAAACACTTCTGGCATACTCCCAAGATCCTACTGAGCTGTTTCTTCGTTGTACTAACGAAAAGCTCAGTATTATGACGGCGCAGCACCTATAGTGAAGAGTTCCCAGTAACTTATGACCAAATTCTTCGTAACGAACAAATTTCTACGTATTATGATAGGTTTGATTCGAAAGGTTCTGTGAATAAGCTTAAAATTATGACTGCAGGGCATTTCTTAGTAGAAAATTGGGAGTGCAGGGCCCAGAGCGAATAGTAGCCAAGGGATGGCTGACGACCTGGATTCTGAGTTGGCATTTAATTTCCAGACGCAATTATACCTTATTCTGAATTGCTTGGAGATGTGTGCTCAGAAAGGATAGGCGTGCGTTAGGAATAACTTTTTTCCTACATAAGTTGGTTTTGACTCCTGACAGAATCGGAACATATCTCTGACGCTTTTCGTGACAGATCTTTCGTTACCTGCAACCGATTTTAAGATATTATTTTGTAAAAAAAAATACTGTTAAATTTTTTTTAATTTTAACCAGCATATTGTGTTTCCTTCCACCTGAACATGGGACATTTACATACACTACAAACCTAACTGTCTTCTAAGTACTCACAAATGCATGCTTGCAAGTACACTCTCACAAACGCATGCTTGGCCAAGTACTCACTCACAAATGCCTTCTTAGCATGAAGCTATACAGCGCCAAGCATGCATTACACCTTCACGCCGCAGGTTAGGTTAGGCTTCGGCGCGAAGGTGTTAAGTGTTGACTTATCAAGCATGCATTTATGAGAGTGTACTAGGCCAAGCGTGCGTTTTGTGTGTACTTGAAGGCACGCATTTGCAAGTGTGTCCTTATTTACTAGACAGTTGGGTTGTAGGGCAATTAAATGTAGTAATTGCACCCTTTGAGCAACGGTAGAGCGTTTGGAATAACAGTTCGTGGAAAGAGTTGAACGAACGAACCTGGGGAAGGGTCCAAAGCCTGAAAAGAGTATCATAGACACACGTTATTTGACAAATGCAGTTTATTCACATGCAAAGAGGTAATTTCTCAAAATACCCATAAAAATGCCATTGATTAATCATTTCAAAAAAATTTGTAGGTTTGAAAACAGAGATGAACGACAAGAGAAGGACAACGAGGCACGATCTGAAGGATCAGTGAACTCGCTCGAGAGCCAGGCCTGTCCAAACAAACCCTACACATTGGTCAGGACGTGGTTCGGGTCGTGGACCTCGCACCACACGTCCACTCCCGGGGCGATCTGGCGAATGGCTGCGCACTGAGCCTCACAGCGCTCCAGGCTGCGGCACCCCTCGCTGTCGCGCTCCAGCTTGATAGAACGCGGCGACGAGGACGCGGCCCGTCGAGCCCAATCCTGGAAGACTGCGGCGAGGTGGCTCGCGGGGTTGTTGACGGACCATTCCAGGACAAGATGGCGCGCCACCCCGACGACGCGGAGGATGGCCGCGATGCCTTCCGGGCCGATCCAGAATCCCTGGAAGCAGCAAAACGTGATGACTGATACAAGACACAACGCTCGAAACCTTTTGAAGTATTATGAGCGGACACGGCAAAAGTGGCTATTTGGCATTTTTGAAACACTTGTGTCAGATGTCTCAATTTATGGGTAAAAGTTCCTTTCTATTGCATGAACTCACACGTAAGAGTAGGGCCCCAACTCCTATTAGTTTCTGAGTTATGGAGGTTCACTTGAACTTTCAGTCGTTTCACTGGCAAAACTAAAGCGTAGTATTACCCTCTATTTTCAAGCGTATCAGTTTACGCTTGAAATCAAACATAACAGGGTCATCGGCCAAGATTCCTCCTATCTAACTGCATGCGGAGATTTCCCGAGTTTGCTTCATTTCAGGCGTAACATCTTCAACTTAACTATATGCTTGACTCAGGCATAGATTTACGCTTTAGTTCTACCAGTGTTCTCCCAAATTCTCCTCACGACAATGAATTGGCTACCCAGTCTTCAGGTTCTGACAATTATATCTATTTTACAATTGGAAAAAGATAGCGTTGCCCTTTTTCTGAAGAACCGAAAACATGACCAAAAAGGGGAAAAATCTTTAAAATTTGAAGAAAAATAAAAATATGCTTGGTAAAATCAGCCTCTTCTGGACTGATATTTTCAAATCTGCCAACGCTATCTTTTTTCTATGCAATAATAGATATAGTTGCCAGAATCTGAAGACTGGGTAGCCAATCCTTTGTCGTGAGAAGAATTTGGGAGAAGCGACTAGAAGTTTACGTGAACCTCCATAACTCAGAAACTAAAAGGAGTTGGGGCCCCTAACTTTGGGAATAAATTCATCTAATAGCGTTTGAATTTGGACCACAAAATGAACTTCCTGGGACAAATATTTCTAAGACGTGCTAGTTTCACTTTACAGTATCCTTCAGGTGGGACATTTTAATCACATCCTTGAAACGACACGAAGTCACGCCGATGCATTTTCGGTGGAAAGACTGACTCACCGTCACAGTCAGTTGGTTCAGGCGGAGCACATTGCTCGGTGGGCGGAGTCTTGTCAGACACGTCGCGCTGCCCTTCCAGCCTTTCAATTTCAGAGTCCTCAGTCGTGGCATAGCGAAGACCGGATCAAGGACACCCGTCAACACATTGCATAGGGTCAGTTGCTCCAGCGTCGATCCATGGCAACGCAAAATCTTCAGCAAATCGGAGGTATAGCAGTGAGAGTGCCATACTTTAAGATAGGTCAACTGGGTTCAAAAGAAAAGAAATACATAAGTTTTTGCTGGAAAGGCATCACTCCTAGAAGCAAGCGTCCATTTTGGCCGTTGTCCGCAGAAAATTAGAGCTTCAAAAGATGTTAACAAACGACAAAGAAGATTTCTTGGTTTCGGACAAAAAAAATTATCACCTGGAAAGATTAAGGGACATACTCACAGGGGGGTCAAGTGGTGTGAAAAGACCACGGGCGTCATCGTCTCCAGCGCGCCCGTACTGAGTTTCTTTCGCCTGACCATGCAGAGGTACAAACTGAAAGAATACGAAAACAAGAAAGATCAGTGCACATCGTGAATCACCGATATACAAGGCAGTACAAGTCCGGGTACATTAGTTTTCCAATATTCAGGCAAACACGTAAGTGGCACACACAATAAAAGGGTTCTACACTCTCATCCTTCAATCAACATGTAATTGTTGACATTGACGATTATGGGCATCAATAGAGTTATATGAAGGATTGAAACATTATTATCAATTTCGTCTTGGCGAATTTCTTAAGACGAAATTCAATACAATACAGCACAAAATCTCATGGCAAATCTGCGAGTGCACAAATCTAATCGTTGAGGTAGTTCCTGAAAGTAAGCATATACTCTTGGTTTCAAATGACAGCAACCCGGGAAAATTCCAAGCCAAATTGCCTCAGGCTCTGAACCCTCTTATCTTTAAAATGGCCTCAACATATAATATACATCCCCGCCCGACATTATCACACCAGATATGAATGTATGAACCTTTGAATAAAAATATAGAACCAGCTTGAAAAATTTTCCAAACGTACTAAGATTTGCTAAACGAAAAAAAAAAAAAAACGGTTTCTAGTTTTTGCAAGAAGCATTAGCACAAGACAGAAGCGATTTCCAGGGAGTTCCTGAGAAACAGGGACCGTTTTCACCGGTTTTTGCCGTGTAAGATCTGTTGTACAGAATCTAAGGTGTTGTTATGGTTAATTCGAGCACATGTGCCCACTGAATAAATAGCATCTGCCAGAGAGGAGCACTAAGCGCACTGAAAATGTGATCCAAGAAGCGGAAGAAGGGAATAATTCGACATATCTCCAAATTGAGTTTTCGTCTTATTATTGTACCTCAGGATGGTTTGCATCACTACACTAAATTGTTTGACCCAATTTCGAACAGTTTAGGAGAAAATCCACATGAAAAATGGAAGTACCTCAACTTGACCCCTTTTACGGTCTAAATTATATTGGAAAATGGAGGTAGCTCAGCTCAACCGAAGCCCACATGATTCAATTGCACAAAATGGCAAAACGAGAAAACTCAACTTGTGTCTTCATGAATCTTATGTAAAAGGAATCAACTCAACTTGACTCCCCATCACTAGTTGGAAAAAAGAGGTAACTCCAAAAATGAACCATAGAAATACGGACTCTACGCGTTTTCAATTTTTTTCGAATTTTCTGTTAGCACCTGAATTAAAAAGACTTCCATGAATGCTAGAGACAATCGGCAGTAACCATGTAAAAGATCAAACTTTTTGCAACAATTTCAAAAAAAAAAATTTTGTTTTAGCGTAAGGGGAGGCACTTATATGAGGGACGTAAAAAAGGTCTGCAAAATCACACATGGTGTCACTGCGCGCACGATTTCAGCCAAAGTTTTCAACTTTGTTTCAATCGGTAAAGTGCATAAAAAAGAGCAAAATTGCCTACAAAATGAACCACGGGGGTTAATATCGGGCCAAAAACGCTGGTAGAAAAAGGTCATTTTTCACAAATTTTCCATTGAATGCATTTTTCTTGTTCGATACTAAATATCTAGTAGCATTTTTCATCCGATATTTACCCCCGTGGTTCATTTTGTAGGCAAATTTATGCTTATAGGAACGGGCGCTAACCGCGGGAGAATCCAGAAATAATGGTAAATATGGTCGCATACCTCGCCGTCTTCTACTCCAGCCGCACTGGAGCCCTCAGTTTCCTCTTTCTGCTCCTCTTCGGACTCAGTATCAGACCCTTCAGCATCTGATGACTCTGAACCAGAACTTTCAGAATCTGATGTCTGTGTAGCCGACACTATGGAGGGCTTAACTACCTGCGCAGAGATGGTACAATGCAAGGGTTAGGGCACAGCAATCTGAATATCTTGCGACAAATCAAATTCTATGAGTGCCGCTGAGGACACTACGATACGAAAACGGACTCTGTTTCCCAGGAGAGTCCTGGGAAAATACGGCTGATTTTTTTTTTAAAACTGACCGAATTGCCCTTATTTCATAGAAAAAGATACGTCTCCACTAAACATACAAAAAAATTACAAAATATGTCATAGGCTAGGATGAGAAATAAAGGATGTAGAAGGGCTTGAAACGTGCCAAAATTCGATGTATTTTTTATCAATAAGGAAATTTAGCACGGTTGTAGATGTAGATACTTTCTTATTCCGCAACCAAATACATGACGTATGAAATCACATTTGTGTTATCTTCTTGAGAAGAATCCATTTCTAAAGTAAAGTCAATTTGGTCAGTTGATAATTCACTGTAAGATTCCGGAAGGCTTCCAGCGTAAAGTTGCAACCCACTAAAAAAACAACAAACTCCGTTTTCGCCGAGAAGAAGCCTTTGCGAACCGTACTGGGACTTAACCGTGCTTTCAAGATAAGAGGCTGTCAGGCAATCATACACAGCCTACAAACTTTATCGACCTCTTTTCTATCCATCCAAAATAAAATGAATGAACTCCGAGGTTATAGTACACTCTGCAAACTCAACAGTGAACAGTGTACACGAGCACACTCCCACGAACGCGTTATTCTTATAGCTGCATATATTTACGTGGGAATTAAGGCGAGTACTGATCTGAGAGTAATAATCCTACTTTCACGTTTCTGAGGTTGGCTATATTGCCAACACTGAGAGTCCAAACGCTGTAAGTGTAGTGTCAATTGGTGCAATGCAAGAGCTTTGCACATGAAGTGGAGCGCCTCGGCCCAGCACCAGCTCCAACTTGGTGCTGGCTCGAGATGTGGTGGTGGGGGGGATGTCGTAGGATATGGTCTGAGTATGAGAAATCAAGTTGTAGCCAAAAACAGCATCATGTTCATGTGTGTCAAGACAGAGTCGGGTGGAAATTTGTTGTCATGTAGTTCAGGGGTTGGGAAAAGATGCTGTGAAAATGAAATGAATAAAATCTGCAGTGGATCTTAGAATAGTTTTGACAGCACTGTGAAAACATTTTGCTCTTTTCTGGTGTTGTGAAGTTGAAAACAAAAACTTATTTGCTTATTTATTATATCATGATTCTATCTGAATCGCTGTCTTTCTTCTATATTCATGCTGCAAGATTATCATCTTACTGAATTCTTAAATTTTCATTTCTTGCAGGTTCGTACAATCTCAAAAAGTATATCTGTTTACACTTGGGTCGAGGTCTTTCGACCAATGACCTAAACTGAAAGACTGCTCAGTTTGGGGAAGTAGTCGCTTGATTATGCTAAACTGCCTGTAGCTATTCTTTTTTAAACAAAAAAAGATGTTTCTTAATAAACAATAATATTCCTGAATAGAACCATGTTAATACGATGAGATGCCTTGGTGGTATCTTGTTCAGGAAAATTCAATGAACAGGATTATTCACACATCTCACTAAGATGAACTAAAATATTGAAACAAATGTATTGGCTATTAAACACAGTTAATTTAATAGCACGAGCGAAACCAACAGAACACAAAACAGCCACGCCATGACCAGCTCCGTTTCTCCTCAATCCTCAAATTAGAACCAGAAAAATATAGTTCATGTAAATAGTCAGATATTGTTTTACAAAAAAAAAACTGTTTAATCCATAAAGCTTATTTTCTGAGAACCAGCCGTCCCAAAGCTGTTTGCTGACAAAATATTCTTAAAACATCACTAAATGAACCCTTCCATGGTGCGCCTGAAAAAAGGCTATGTATAGAATCTTTCTGTCCTCATTTTGTTGAAGCTATATTTAACAAACGATGCATCTGGTAAAACATCATGCTAGAGCTTTTCTATCGGAGATCGGATTTTCAACAAGTTTGATTCCCTGCCTCAACCAACATTGCCTCGGGCGTTGGCGTTCGTTCGACTCAATAAGACCTTCTAGCTCCGTTCCTGTCAGGCGGAGGGGGGAAGTCCATGGGAACAAAATGTCGTAGAAGGGTACGAGGAATGGAAACCTGTCGTCGTCCGGACCGGTGTTCGAATACCCGGGACGGCGAGATTCAAAATAAAAGATTCGCAAGCGGCATTATTTTTGTCATCACCATCGCAAAGATGGCATTTTAAGAAATAGATTGACGTTTCACCCACCCCGATCGGCCAAAATTTGGCTCAGATATGGCCGTTTATAAGTCGGGTCAAAATGATGTGAAAAAATGCACTTTTTGGGAAAGCCATATTTTACAAACGATGCATCTAGTGAGATATTGTGCTAATGCTTATCTTTCGGAAATTAAATTTTAAACAAATTTGATCCCGTAGTGTTTTACCGTATCTGTGCCCCTGCGCCTCGGGGAGCGTCCGTAAATTAGAGGAGTTTGACCTTGTAAGGCCGTCTAGCCTCGTTCCTGTTCGCCGGACAGGGAAGTCCATGGGAAGAAAATGTCGTAGAAGGGTGCGAGGAATGGGTACCTGACGTCGTCCGGACCGGTGTTCGAATACCCGGGACGGCGAGATTCAAAATTAGAGATTCGTACCCGGCATTATTTTTGTCGCCGCCTTCAATGAGAGGGTATTTTTAGAAAGCGATTAACGTTTCACCCACCCAGATCGGCCCAAATTTGGCCGAGATACGGCCGTTTAAAAGTCAAATCAGCTCCAAATTTGCGCGATCCGTATTTTCTGTCCAATGGACTGTAAAGTAGTAGTTAGTTTCAAATTTCCTTAGTTTTTGAAGATCTTTCACGCTCTAAAATTTCAAGTCGATGTCGCCAACCGTTCAAGAGTAACAGCGTAAAGGTACTGTTGAGTTCGACCCTTTTGGCCATACGGGACATCCACTGCAAGTTTGCCCGGCGCTGTCGACGAGTGTGTCAGATTCTCACCTCCCAACATTTCACTGTTTCGGAGGATCCCCGGGTGATCAGGGTGGGTTATAAATGTAGGTTTATTTTACAGGAAGCAGGCGCAGTACTAATAGCGACGTGTCACCCGATATTTAGTTTGAAGAACGCATTTTGAAAAGCAGCGTCGTCCGCACGCAGTTGAATTCGTCACCCTTCCCGCCACTTTCTGTCTAGGCCAACGTAACTTGGTTTACTTTGAACGCTGGACTGTGAACAGGGCGCGGCTTTAAAGCCCTCCCGAATCCCGAATCCCTTCGTCAGTGAGTGAAGACACCAAAGAGAGAAGATGGAATGGACAAATTTCGTTCCAAAGTTGACTGACGTAAAAATAAATTTTCACCTCAGAAACTGTAATGTTGTGATTTGAGTAATCACTGTCATTATTTTGTTAACGAGACAGCATTGGTGCTTTGCCTGACCAACCGTGCAAACATTCAAAGTGTCGTTCGATTTTATTCTAACTCCATCCATTAACCCTATTTTGTTCGTCGTCTGCTCCTTGGTGCGGCATCACAAACTTTACACCGTAATACGGTGCGTTTCATTTTTCATACTACGTAGCGGCATGCCTGGGGAAGGTGGAGGGGGAAACTAGAGCCAGCTCCAAGTTGGAGCTGGCGCTGGGCCGAGGCGCTCCATGAAGTGCAATGCCTTCCCATTCCCATGCTGTAGCATAGGGCATTTTCAAGACGCATTGCACGTAAGGTGCAATATGGCCATGGCATTGCAGTGCACGTATGGAGCGATCTCTCAGCTGCATTGCGCTATACTCATAGAGTTTGGAATCTGAGTGAATAATCCACAATGTGGATTCAGAAATCACGACTGCGGGAGCCAATCACAGCGAGACCCCTTCCCATCACAATCTTAAAACCTTACGAAGTATTTTGAGCATACATATAACAAACTAAAATACTTTGTTATACGAAGAAGTAGTTCGTAAATTACGAAGTATTTTCTTTGTTAGCTTACGTATGCTCAAAATACTTTGTTATACAAACTAATTTGTTTTGTAAGGCCCAAAATAGTTTGTAAGGTTTTCTCAGTGCACGGTTGCCAGTTTTGGCGAAGCTGCCCGACTTAAAGGTGGCCTACTCACTTACCTCGTCCCCTTGCGTCTCTTCCACAGGGACCAGCAGTCGGGCACGCTGCATGGTCGAGACCATGGCCAGAACGAGTCGCAGGTCGCTGCTTTCTTCAAGGTCGTCCTCCAGGGTAAAGGTACCTCGCCAAGTTCGGCCATGCTCCCCGATGACCGTCACCTCGCACCGGCGGGCGCCCTGAACGAAGTCCACGCTCTGCTTGTCAAATTCTCGGCTGCGCAAGGGATTTTTTCTCACGATCTGACATGCATTTCACAGCGCGATTGGGGTAAGGCCAAAAGAGAACAAAAATGCAGATCCAGGAAGCGGAAGAAGGGAATAATTTGACTTATCTCTAAAATGTGTTTTATTTTATTACTGTGCTTCAGGATGGTTTGCATCATGACACCAAATTATTTGACATAATTCCTAGCGGTCTATGAGAAAATCCACATGGGAAATAGATTGAACTCAACTTGACCCCTTTTACGGTCTGAATTTCATCGGGAAATGGCGGTAACTCAACCGAAGTTCACATGACTCCGTTACTCAAAATGGCGAAAGGAGATGACTAAACTTGTGTCTTAATGAATCTAGAGTAAAAAGAATTAACTCAATGTAACTCCCTCAATTTAGTTGGAACAAAGAGGTAACTCAAAAAATGTATTAATACAGAACTTAGGCCTCAGCTCCACTTGAATAGCCTCCGAATTCCACCTCGTTTCGGAGAACCCAGTAAACATGGTTCCATAGTCCATTCTAATATAAAGATGCATGGTTCCATAGTCCATTCTAATATAAAGATTTACATCACAGAAACCGTCACACTTTTGAAAATTTTGACTATTTCTCAGGCTTTTATGCGAGGGGTTACCCACCCCGGGAATCGTGTGTACACATGGCCGGGAAGCTGGTCGGAATCTCGGTGGAATCAGGTGGAATCAGGCGGAATCACGGGAATCGTGGGAATTGCAAAGGAATCGCGGGAATCGGCGGAATCATTTAGGAATCGCTCGGGAATCTTGGGAATCAGTTGGGAATCTTGGGAATCGTTTCGGAATCATGGGAATCAGGTGAAAATTGTGTGTAAATTATGCAACATCCCCTTAGATCATGCGAACCATCGGATACTCTGCTTAGCGCCAGAAGTGTTCCGAAGACCGCCGAGGCAGCCGAGGTCTTCCCCTTCTTCACTTCGGTTGCGACAGGGTTACGAACAGGACGCAAATTTCCAAAGGGGGCCAATGATGAACCAGGCTTCCTTTCCAGCTCGTAGAGTCCTATAGGCCCTGAAGGGGAGATCCGCGAACGTGGAAAATGTTCTGATTTTGCTTCTCACACTCTAAAAAAGTGCTATGCGTAATTCCTCATAGTTTGTTTTGATGTTGTGTCGTCTGCTTGGGGCATCTTGGGGTCAAGGGACTTGACAGCGCTTGGAACAGGCCTCAAAAGCTCCTCATTCCTCTAAAATAGTCAACTGAACAGTTCTTGAACGTCAGATGCAAACTGTTTAGATGTTTTCAGGCTCTGCCAGACGAATCTTAAAAACGCACGCCGGAAGCGGAAGCGCATGGTGGACATTTTGCTCGTCAGTATGAGCACCGAAATCGGTCAGAAGTCAAGACGCGGTTCGCGGATCTCCCCTTTAGGGCCTTTAGGACTCTACCTCGCTGTCATGCGCATCACAGATTTTCATACTTGTCGACCCATACACTGCAAACATAGCTGTCTACTATGTACACACTTACAAATGCATGCTTGCAAGTACACACCGCTTGGCGCATGCTTGGCGCCGTATAACTCCATGCGTTAAGCATGCGTTTGTAAGTGTGTACCTGCAAGCACGCATTTGTAAGTGTGTACTTGGCCAAGCATGCGTTTGTAAATGTGTACTTGCAAGCATGCATTTGTAAGTGTGTACCTAGTAGACAGTTAGGTTTGTAGTGTACGTACCCGCGAGCCCGTGAACCATTTGAATTTCTACTGGAATCGCGAGAAAATCTTGTCGGAATCACGTGGGAAACATTGAAATCACGTGGGAATCATGGAATCAGATGGGAATCTCTGAAATTACAGGAATCATTCTGGAATCTTCAGGAATCTTCAGGAATCTGGGAATCCTTTTGGAATCTTGGGAATCTTGAAAATGGGAATCGTGTGTACGCGAAAATCGGGAGTGGGTAACCCCTCGCTTTTATGTCAAGAATGCAATTGCATCATACATCTGATTGGATTTAGTTTACCCTGGAAACAGTTTTTTGTGTCACCTGAGTGTGAAAATTGAGCTACCCCCTTCTTCCGCTTGAAGGATCAATAAGAACAAAAAGGATCAAAAGGAACAAAAGCGAAAAATACGTATAAGTGCTGAACAAATTAACAGAGGTGCTATCGACACAATGACCATGCCATACACTGAAAGTCAAAAGCGAGTCTTATGATTGTACGTGTTACGAATGTACTGTCATGAACTCGTTGTTAGACAAATCGCGAACTCAACACAGCTCCAGGAACTCAAGTGTGTACTGGGGCAAAGCAGTACGGAAAATTCTGTTAATTTTTTTGCCAGGATTCCCCGTAGGAACTTACAGTATTCTCCGTACGACCGTGCAGTCTTCTTCGCAGGACTTGGAAGACCGTTTTAGCCCTACGGAGAATATTGACAAGGGGGCCACGGAGAATTACCACAAGCCGTTTACAGAATTTTCCGTAGCTTTTGGTCACAGTGTGTTCATAGCACACTTCAGGTTGAAACGTGCTTGCAAGTGCGTACACCACCTGGAGCCAGCCTGACATGTACACTCCACGCTGGATCATGAAGTACACGCCAAATGGCGCATACGTTCAAGTACACTGTAGCTCTGCTCTAAATCCACAAGGTAGGTGACCACAGCAACAGCGTACACTGTGGCAAAAATGTACGATAAAATCTGTTCATGATTTTGCCAGGATTCTCCGTAGCCCTCTAATGAACACTCTCCGTAGGATCTTGCAGTATTCTCCGTAGAACTAGAAGACTGTAATACTGTGAGGTACTACGGAGAAAATTGACAAGGGGGCTACGGATACCGCAAGCTGTTAACAGAATTTTTCGTACCTTTTTGCCACAGTATACCTGGCAAGCATACTCCAGCGTGGAGTGTACATACTAGGTTGGCTCCGACAGAAGTCTGTACTTACCTTTGGATGCATCTAAGGCTAGCCTGTTGAACCGTTCCTCGAACGCGCTCCCACTCCGTACCGGTCGCGTCCTTGCTGCTTTTGAACAGCTTAAGGGCCTCCGCGGTGTCCTGTTGAGCCTTCGTGACAGCGTACCTCTGTGTAGACATCGAGGGACATTACGCGACAAGATACAATGGGCATTTCCTGATACTGAGGTTTGGTACTGCACAAAACAGGTAACAACAAACAAAGAGAAAAACTTTACCAGATTGTGAAGGACGGAGGGTATTATCTCAACATTCTCGCGGAGAATACACTCAAGGACCTTTGTAGACTTCACAGCAGCCTCCAATATTTCCCTTTCATCTTCCAACTGCCTCAATTGCTCTTTGCGCAAAGGGCAGATCGTATGCTCCTCTTGGCAAGACGTGCCAGCAAGTACCTTGCAGTCCAGACACCATTTGGCAACCTTCCTCTTCGGCTCACTCTCGTTCTGGACCTTCTCCAATAAAGCCAAGAAAGAGAAATTGACGGGCAGGTCAGTGGGAGATGCTATCGTCACCTACAGGCAAGAATGGGAGAAAATGTCACAAACCGTGCGGCAATGGGACTTGGTTGTGGTCGTACACTCTCAGACTGTTATTGACTTTTTGTCCTTTGTTAAAGAGTATTTTACACAGCAATAAAAAGTACTATTTCCTCAATATTTATGTAGGATTTTGTTCATTTTATTGACATAAAGTCAATTTGCTACTGACAAAGAGTCAATACGCAATTGACTTTAAAAATAGTCAATAATTGATGACAATTTAGTCTTTATAGTGAACAATATTGTACATGGTTACAAAGGAAATACTACATATTATTGCTGCTTAAAAAACTACGTAAGCAAAGGACAAAATGTCAATAATGGAGAGAAAAAAGTCAATATGAGTCTGAGAGTGTAGTGGTGATGGACTCTGCTCTACGACCCGGCACGAGTACGACGACAAAAACCCCAGCTTGCTCTCCTAAATCCATGCAAACTGTTGTGTTTGAAGGCTTGCGAAGAGTCAGACTTGATCGGTGTGGAAAGAACGCGTCGTATTGCACACGGCAAAAACAGTGTCCAAGTTTCCCTGCCAATGCTTCCCAATTTATTGGCTTCGCCCAACAAACTAAAAATTAAATAAAATAAAATGGCGGAGCCATATGGAGCGACACCCAGTGTGGACAGCGGGGTTTGCGAGTCGGGATGACGGGATCCCGTGGCAGGGTAGGCAACTTTTCTTGTGATGTTGCAAAAACATTTGTCAGCAATAATCAAGAAAGTGCAAATAAATGAAACTGTATGAACACTCAGAAAGTTGTTTCTGCTTTTTCTAAAATGTTCTGTACGTAAAAGCTGCTTTGAAAGGCGTAGAAACGGTTCGGAGTTCATACGAATCGTTGGTCAACGTGGTTTCAAAAAGTATTAATGTCGGGTGCATTTGGAAGGAAAGGATGACCAATGTCGGGTGGACCAAGCAAAAAGTTGAATCGCAGCAGCCGACGTCGTCGTGAGCGGGAAACTGGCGGGAAACGAAATGACAACAACAACAAAATCCTTGACTAAATCCCAAACGAAATGAGTGTTTATCAAAATGTCAGACAGAAGAAGATGTTCCATTGTGTCGTGTCCGTTTTCGTCTCAACCTATAGTCGAAGGCGTTCGCTTGTTTGGGTAAAGTCCACTCAATTATTCGATATTTACAAGTGTCTTTATCGTCATTTAGAGGGGTTATGTTGCTCTATAATGCCTGGCCTGCCACAATTTCTTCACAGTGCATAATTTTTAATTAAAAAACTATGTTTCATTTTGCAGACTCCCAAAAGACCAGATACAGCAAACACAGTGGCGTCAATGGATAAGTATTCAAAACAAAAAAGAGTGTAACACCAAGAATATCTTCATTTGCAGCAATCATTTCTTAGCTGAAGAAAAGGGAAACAGAAGACTTAAAAGAGGAGCAGTGCCTTCCGTTTCAGTAAATGACAATGTATGTTGCCATTTTTAACTCTGAAATCTCATGTTAGTTTAGTTTTTTACTGTAGATAATGTTTGATTCTGGGTCTGCTGCAGGGTGCTGAGGAACACCTCCAGCAAGTTGAAAATTATGGGCAAGAGCAGCAAGATGAGTGTGTCACTGTGCAACCTGTTAAAAAGTTTCAACCTGATCAGAGATGGGCGGCAACTGGAAGTGAGGTAAACCACACAATATCACTTTCCACCTCAAATAATGACAATGTTTGTTGTTACAATTTACTTAAATCCAATGTTTATCTTGTTTGTGATCTCGTAAAACTGTACTGTTTTTAAAATTGTAAACTGAACCTCTTCGGCAATGTGCTGCTGCGTTGAAAACATGGCAGCTGCCATTACATGGCGGGTCAATGCGTGGGAAATCTTAACTGTTAGAACGGATCCAAGACAATCCTAACTGTCAGAGCAGATCCAAGACAATTGGATAGTTCTGAATTGACATTAACAGATTTTGATTGAATTACAGGATTATTCATCTGTCGTGACCATAGACATGAGAGATAAGTCATTTACAGTAAAAGAAAACAATGACAGTGCTACTTCAGCTGACCATATTCAGAAATTTTGTATGGTGAGTTTGTATGTAGGATTTGAATTTGTACTGAGGCTGTTTTGAACTGACTGTAACAGATTTTGAATTAAATTTGGAGTTTTATTGAGATAGCTTTCATGATTTTTTTGTGAATTGAATTGCAGGAATATTCATCTGTTGTGACTATAGACATGAAAGATAAGTCAATTAGAGTTAAAGGAAACAATGATAGTGGTACTTCAGGAGACTTTATTCAGAAATTTTGTGCGGTGAGTTTCTATGTAGGATTTGATTTTGTAGTCAGGCTATACTCAGGTTGTAAGGAAATAAAAACATAAACAGATAGACACATCAGCAGGCGGGACAACGAGGGGCATGTTGGGGATTGATGATGTCACCATTACTTAAGGCTGCAATTAATTGTCAAAAGCTATCCTCTAGGATATGTGGTTGGTCGATATTTTGAAGGGATTGGTTCCAACTTTTAGTTTCATCTGTTAATGGTTTAATGTGTTTATTAGTTTATGTCCTTATTTCCTTGACCTGATACAACTTTAATGAGTATAACTTTTTGTATATGCCATTGAATTTTGATTACAGGAGAATGATGTTTCAGAAGTGATTGAGGTTGAGGTGAATATTAGTGACAATTATGAAAACACCTTTGCTTCAGGTGGCGATGTGTGCTTGGTAAGTAATTTAAGAAAGAATTTAATAATAAATATGAGACTTAATCAAATAGTGCTTTAATTGGCATTACAGGAGAATCAAGTTTTAGAAGTGAATGAAGTTGAGGTGAATTCAAGTGACAATAATCATGATGCGTTTGCTTCAGGTGTTGATGCGAGTTTGGTAAGTCATGTAAGGATTTATCATGAGAAGATTGAAAATGTTAATATAAATGAATTGAATACCTTTAACAAAGTAGTTTTGCCTGTTCTGAGTATTATGCTGTTGAATAATGTTTTTGACAGTCATGTTTGTATCTTTACAGAGACAAATGATGTCGCAGAAAAATTCACCGAAGGTACGAGTTTGTGCTGTAGTTGGATGCACTAACAATTCACATCATAATAATGTTAAGTTATTTACATTTCCACAAATAATAATCAACAAGGTGGTAAATGAAGCTAATTTGCAAAGGTATGTGTTTTTATTTTTACAAGTATAAATCAAATTGAGTTGTTATATGGATGTGTTATTGGTTGTTTATTATGTGATTTTCTGTAGGTGCAAGAATTGGTTAAAATTCACTGGAAATTTAAAATTAAGTAAAGTTAAAACTACAAGTCTCCACATGCAATATTACATTTGCAGCAAACATTTCAGTGCAAATCAGTTTTATAATAAGGATCAAATCACATTGTTGCCAAATCAAACGCCTACAGAACATGGACCGCAATGTTTGGATGATGCAGAGCTTGGCAGGTATCCTAATTTGGGATTGAAACATGAATTATTTTCAGGTTAGTGGCAATTATGTGTTAAGTGTATGCATGAAGCAAATATTTAAAATTGTGTACTTTGTTTTTGTTTGATCTGTTAAAGCTCTGTCTGATATTCATTGTTTCCTTACTTTCAGAGTCCCACGATAGTACTGACAAGTTTCACAAATTATTGAATGAATGTAGTGTGAATGACAAGTATTATAAAGACTTTATGAATGAAATGAATTCATTTCATAAATATTCTTGTCTCAATTGCAAAGAAATAGTGTGGTCGAAACAGAAATTGAAAACTAATTGCTTGCATAAGAACAATTGTTTCAAATACTCAAAGGCAAACAACATGGACCCTGGGGAAGTTCCTGAAGAGCTAAAAAATTTAACAATGATTGAAGAGGCATTAATATCACCTGTACATGCAATGCTATCCATTTATAAGTTAAAAGGACACCAATTTGGATACAGTGGGAATGTGATCAATTTCCCACAGTCTGTTTCACATTTTGCTCAGCAACTTCCTCACAAAATTAGTGATTTGCCTTCTATTATTACAGTAAGAACACAATCTGGCGGTGATACGCCAAAAGATTTCCATGTCCGTTCTCAAGTTGTTTTTAAAGCCTTATCATGGTTGATTAAAAACAATGAGCTTTTTTCTGACATAACTATAAGTGAAGAAAATATGGCGCTTTTACCTGAAAATGGAAATGTTTATGACAGTATTCCTTCTGTAATAACTGGGGATAAACAAAATGAAGATGGCAAGGAAGAAGAATCCACAACAATTGGGCAATATGAAAATGGTGATGATATAGACCAATTATTTGTGCCAAAACATCAAACTAACAACCAAAATGATCAAATTAAGGAAATATTTAATTGGCCTACAATGGATGGTAATCCCATGAATGAATTTAAAGACAAAAAAATTATTGCTGGCGCATTTCCAACCTTATTTCCGTATGGAATTGCTGATTTAAGAGATGATAGGGATCATAAAATTTCCAATTCTGATTACTTTCAGCATATGTTAAGATTCCATGATGGTCGTTTTGCCAAACATCCGAAATTTAGATTCTATGCTATGAATTCCTTAATGAGATGGAATGCAATTGATAAGGGTTCATTGTATGTAAAAGACAATGAAGAGTTAAGTAAAATGAATGTTGAAGAGCTTAAAAAGTATGTAACAGAAAACCCAAATGCATTAAACAAAATCATGTATCAATGTAGCAACATGCGTGGGACTAAACCATATTGGAAAGTTCGTCAAGCAGAGCTGGAGGCCATGATTGAGCAAATTGGAATACCAACACTGTTTTTCACGTTATCAGCTGCTGATCTGCACTGGTCGGGCCTATTTAAGGTTTTAGCACCGCATGAAGATCTAGTCACAATGACAGAGAAGAGAAGGAGAGAATTAGTTGCAGAAAATCCCATTCTAGTGGATAAGTACTTTACTGAAAGAGTGAATGCTTTCTTGCAAAAGGTAGGATAAGCACTTAATTATTTGAAGTTTTTAA